TTCGAGAATATGACAAAGGAATTCAGGAACAATTAACATCGGGAGTAATCGAGCGAGTACCTTATCAAAACGACGACAGCAAAGAGAACGAAAACAACGTGCATTATCTTCCACATCACGGTGTAGTAAGGAAAGTCAAATCGACTACAAAGTTGCGAGTGGTCTATAACGGATCAGCTACCACTACTTCACGGACACGATCTCTTAACGATTGCCCTTTGACTGGTCCCAACTACATTCCACATCTTTTCAATATTCTCGTCAAATTCAGATTAAATCCAATCGCAATTTGTGGTTTAAAGACGTCCACAACCCAAAGTCCGAGATAGTAGAATATCGATTTTGCAGATTGGTTTTCGAACTGAGACCATCTCCTGCTATTTTGGGGTCGACGATTGATCACCATTTGTGTCTCTACGAAGATCAAAGTCCAGAAATAGTAGATATTCTTAAGAATTCATTGTACGTCGACGACTTGGTATCGGGAACTCAGAATGACAACAAGGCGTTCAACATCTACAAGGATTCGAAGCAAGTTATGTTAGACGGAGGTTTTAATCTACGTAAATGGAACTCGAATTCGAGTACTCTAATGGAAAGAATCGCTAGTGTTGAGGAGAAAGTTGAAACTACAACTGCACAGCAACCCGTGATGGAAGAAGACCAATCTTACACCAAAGCATCAATTGGTCAACAACCGAACACAACTGAACACAAGCTTACCAAAGTATTAGGGCTTCCGGGGGATCCCGATTCGGACGAATTCGTGTTTAGCTTATCTACGTTGGCGACCTATGCTCGATCGTTACCTACCACAAAATGGACGGTGCTAAGGGTAACGGCTAAAATATTCGATCCTATAGGATTTTTAAGTCCGTTCACAGTTAAGATGAAAGCTATATTTCAAGAACTGTGCACAGAAAAGTAGACTGGGACGAGGAGCTAAGTGATAACCTTTATCGAAGTGGAATGCGATTCTAAGCGAGCTAGACAACTTGGACAACGTACGAATCCCAAGGTGCTATAGCACACCGACTATCGAGCCGACCAAGGTCGAATTACATATGGATATCGATTTAGCGACGCTTCACAAATACCATATGCTGCAGTTGTTTATTGGAGAGTCGTGTACGAGGACGGACACGTTGAAGTTAGACTTGTAGCATCTAAAACGAAGGTAGCACCGTTGAAAACACAAACTATTCCACGTCTGGAATTGCTGGGAGCTACTATTTTGGCTAGATTAATCAATACCGTGCAAAGTTGTCTTCCAACGAATCAAGACATCGAAATCTACAATTGGATTGACTCCAGAGCAGTTTTATGCTGGATCACGAATAAAAAACCCTGGAATCAATACGTGCAACGTAGAGTACAAGAAATACGACAACTTACGCCGAAAGCTTCATGGGGGTTTTGTCCCGGTTCTCAAAACCCTGCCGATTTACCATCTCGTGGGATACAAGTATGTGATCTCGTTCGCAGTTCAGTGTGGTGGAGTGGACCAGAGTATCTTTACAAGCCTCAGTGCGAGTGGCCGAAGGATCCAGCAGCGAGCGCCCTGGATGACACAGCCTTGAACGAAACCGTTAAGAAACCGCAGACTGTTATTCATTCACTCGTCAGTACGAAAGAAGAAAAATCAGCTGAATTGAATCTGAACGACATCATAAATTGTGACCGTCTCAGCAGCTTCGCTAAGCTGTTGCGTGTAACAGCGTACGTGTTAAGGTTTGTCAACGAATTTAAAGTTAAACGAGCTGCGAGGAATACGGAGAATACGCAAGAAACGAAATCAACAAAGAGAGAACTGATGGCACAGGAACTTGATACAGCAGAAACACTTTGGCTCAGATCAATACAATTGGCATCAATTTCCCAAAGAAATCGAGTTTCTGAAAGGTAAGAATAAGGGATCACCGCCCGCCTGTGTTCGTCAATTTGGCCTATACTTCGATAAATACCAAGTTATTAGATGTAAGGGGAGAATCAACAACTCGTGCTTACCACCGGAAGGAAAGAATCCCGTCTTACTACCTTCGAAACATTTATAATAGTGGGTTTATTAATACACGTTCAATAGCAAAAAGCTAAATTACAACGTGTTTACATCATCAGATATTAATTAGAATTAATTAGAATTATTACTTATTTAGAACTATTTACATCAATGGACCTATATGTATATTAAAATCGTTTATATATATATATATGGAATTGTATAAATATGTATATAAATCTTACTTATCTAATTTAAAATTATATTCATTAATAGCATGAACTGCAGGGCTGTTTCTAAAACGTTCAGTGTTGCAAAAAAAGTTATAAATCTTTTCGCCATTTGTCCTAGTCTCTCTTTCCCTAATGTCACTCAGTTTCTTTGGCAATAGTCCGTGAAGTCTGTGTGATGGTTGTAACATGTCCTCAATTAAAGAGGCACATAAATTGTTTCTGCGTTCTTCTAAGGTCAGCAGATTGTTCTGAGATAATAGGAGTCCATAATCACAAAGGCCAGGATAAATTATTCGGAGTGCTCGTTTTTGGATTCTTTCTATGTTTTTCTTATGCCTTTGTGTCAGACCACCACTCCAAATTTGTGCACCATACTCCAGAACAGAACGAATTACTGTACAATAGAAAGCTAATAGGTCATTTTTTGGTGCACCATAACTCTTTAAAATCTTCAAGAGGTAAAGTCGCTTAGCGCCTTTTTTTACAATATACTCAGTGTTGGTTTTCCATCTCATGTCATCGTCTATCCATATTCCTAACAATTTATACGACTTTACACGGGATATTTTATCGTCGCCAATATTAATCAGTGGTATTTCTGTTTTATTCTTCCGAAAATCAATTAGCATTTCTTTACATTTTTTTCCATTCAGTTCCATACTCTCATCCTTTGGAAATTGCACTACGTTATTTACACTTCGTTGGGTGTTACCAATTGGGCTACCAGATGAATGTTGAGTTATGGTAATGACTTCGGACAATGTACTATCATCAACGAACATGGCTATATCTTGATCGTCAGATGCTTCACATATCTGTTCCTGCTCATTAGGTATAGCGACTTGTGGGAGATGGTTAATTTTTGGGATAAATGCTATTGGACCCAGCTTGCTACCCTGTGGGACACCACCCCTGATCTTTCGCAGGTCTGATTGCTCACCTTGAAATGATGTAAATTGCGATCTGCCATGTAGATAGGACGCAAACCAACCCACTAATGCGGGCCGTACAGCGATTCCAGTGAAGGTCTCAAGAAGCTTGTTGTGATCTACAAGATCAAACGCCTTCCGAAAATCAAGAAAAACAATTCTAAGTAATCGAACTGATCGTACGAGAAGTTCAAGGAAGAGTTAAACACAACGGGATAGGAGACACGTTGACCACGATTAGAGAACGGTGTTGGATATTACGTGGAAGAGAAACGGTTAAAGGGATTATCAAGAGATGTGTAGTTTGCACAAAATCCGAAGGAATGACATTCCAAGCCCAGCCTTTACCCGACTTGCGATAGTAGATAACGAGCAGTGGACAGGTCACGAGTGCAGACGTGTATTTTGTGCTTTCTGATAATTTTTATATTTTAAAATACTTTGTGAACAATTTTTAATGCACCATTGGTACAAATATACAAATGATAGAAGACTGATAGAATGTCAGGTTTTATCGAGAATATAAGCCTTGCTTGGACAGGCGATTTTGTTTCTCTTAAGCAATTCTCGAGCGAAGTTCTCAAATTAGATGGCGAATGGTCACAGCCTGGAGGGGACAAGAAGCTGCTTACGTTTAATAATTTAACTATGGTGTGGCGAAAGAATAAACATGTATTAACCATTAATGGTGAGAGATCAGAGGAAATCAAGAAACAGATTTGCGAGGTAATGCTTAAAGATAACTTAACTTTGCCAACCCAGCCATCGCAAGCACAATCAAGCATGGCGACCGATGCGTAATTTGATGATATTAAAAGTCTCAAAGCAGGACAAATGTTAAACTGCGAAATAATTCAATCGCTTGCAGAGTCTGTTCATGATTTAGCGTCTGTAATTTCTCGAGTGAAAGGAAGTGAAGTAAAGAATAACAGTAATTTTAGTAAAAACACAGAAAAACCTGATGTTAAGCAGACTGAGTATGCAAATTTTGCTAATACTAAAAGTTCCTAGCTTTGTCTTGGAAGAATTGACGGATTCGCCTATGAACAATAACAATAACATGATCGCATTTCGCCTATGAAAGAAAACGTTCCTGAATCTAATGATAACGATATGTCCTACATCAATTTAATATCGCTTATGAACAATAACAATAACAATGATCGCATTTCGCTTATGAAAGGGAACGTTCCTGAATCTAATGATAATCATATGTCCCACATTACTTTAAACGAGTCAAGTACTGGCGCAAGTAAAGATGGAGGTATTGATGAACAATCCAGATCTCCAAGAACCTATGCTCAAGTGGCAAAATCTCATCCCTCTGTTAACAGGAGTAATGGCAAACCCAGTACGGATAATACAGACAATATTATGCAAGTCCCTGCACCTCGGAAAATGAATGAACGAATTGATGATAGTGATGGGTTTATTGGGGTTAAACGAAAGCGAAATAGAATTAAAAAGTTCTTCTTTTCCGTGATTGCTGAGAATGTTAAAGATCAGGATATTCTATGCTATTTGGAAAAGCGAAAGGTAATACCATCTTACTTATTTCTATTTAAAAGTAAACGGAAAGATTCAATTTCTGCTAAACTTCATGTTCAAGCAAATGTATGCCCCTTGATTGAAAACGAAACCTTCTGGCCCAAGTTTGTGAAATGCAAACTGTGGAAACTAACATCTACTGACGGTAGAAACGACAGCCCTCCAGAGGGAATCCTTTCAACGTATGTATAATGGCTCAAATTCCCATCAGAATGTCTCCGCGATGGCAGAGGATTAGGTAGATGAGGCGAAATCCTCAAAATACAATATCTGTAAACATTTCGCATGCAGTCAACCCAAACATCGTAATGAATAACCAAGAACATTCATTTAACAAATTAAAGTTATCTCATCTCAACGTGCAGTCAATTAGAAACAGAAATCATTTAATTCAAGTACGAGAACTTGTCGTTGACGAGAAAATAGATATCTTGGCATTATCAGAGACATGGCTAAATACGTCCACGACTAATTCCGAGGTAAAAATTCAGGAATACAACATATACAGACTTGATCGTAAGCACAAAAAGGGTGGCGGCCTATGTATTTATGTCCGTAATGACTTCAAGACAAAAGTTTTGAAAAATCTCTCGTATATTTCTCCAGTAGGTTTCCATCAACTTTGGTTACAAGTGCAAGTGAATAAAAACAAATCTATGATTGTTTGCGTTACTTATAGGCCACCTGACTGCCCGGTTACATGTATACGGGATGAACTTAAACCTAAATTCATTGAGGCTTTGTTACTGGGAAAAGAGATCATTATTTTGGGCGATATGAATTGCAATCTCCTTAAAACATCTTGTTATGAGTCTAAAATATTATTAGATACTTGCTCCGAACTACACCTGACCCAACTTATTAAAGATCCAACGAGAATTACATCTCAAACAAGTTCATTACTTGACGTTATTATGATTTCGTCCTCCTCTAAAGTTAAAAGTAGCGGGGTTGTTGACATTGGTATTAGCGATCATTCTATGATATACTGTATACTTAAACTTAGAGCTGATAAGCCTCGACCTGAATACAAGGATGTGAGGAGTTTTAAGAACTACAACTCCCAGAGTTTCAAGGCAGAACTGTCTCAACTTCCGTTTCATGAAACCTATCGCATTAGTGATGTAAATGCGAAAATTGATCATTTCAATCAATTGTTCATAAATACTCTGAACAAACACGCGCCTATCAAACACATCAGAATTAAAGGCAGACTTAATCAGTTTATTAATAAAGAATTAAAGTGCACGATGAAACTGAGAGACAAAAAGCTGAGAATTTTTCGCCTCTCACGTAACGCGGAAGATTGGGATGTCTATAGGCAACTTAGGAATTCTATAAAAACCAGGGCATTTTTTAAGAATTCGTCAGTGGGGGGGCCATCTACAAAAAGGGACCATACCATACCGAGTGTGGAGCAATGATAGATGGTTTGTTGGTAACAAAAAGTTTGGTGTGGTATCGCATTTAATAGTAGGGGGGTGAGAGCAGGGCCTTAGGAAGCTCTTTTCGTTTGGGGGGGGGGGCTGAAAGCGAGGGCCGAAGGCCCGAGGAAATTTTTAAATTTAGAGTCTCTGAAATGCCATTTCCTGGACTTTGGGGAAGATTTGACAGATTTCTGATTGTCAGAAAACAGCGTTTTTGGTATGTGGAAATTTAGAATTCAGTAGTACTAAATGGACGAAGGTGTATTTAATTAACAATATATTGGATAAGTTGCAGGAAAGTATGGGTAATATCTTCATTCTTTGCAGTTTGTCATGGATTAAATAATAAAGGTCTGCATGATTTTAAAAAATGAGCCAGCTTGATAAACTTAGAGTTCCCGACTCCCACGAAGCGCCACCATGGTTGGCACAGAGTGGAAAAATTTTGAAAATTTTGCGTCTCTAAATCATTGGAAATGGCATTTTCAAAGTCTTCTATACGTCTTTTGTTTGGCCCTTTCATTAATTCGTTCATTATGATTTGTGAGTCTATGATCGATATCCGCGAGTCAGGATGGATTATTACGAGAAATGTTATCAAAATATCGATTACAGATATTTGATTATATGTATATATGATTTCAAATACTTCTAGTATCGAAATCAAATTGGGTTTTTTTGGTGGGGGCCAAAATTATCCCCCCCCTTATAAAACACATGGTTGAGGGTCTGTTGCCCCCTGCGGTCACTAACTTGTCCAACAACTCAAACTCTATAGGGTCTGGGAAATGCAATCCACTGCCTGGGAAATGTTTAAAATCTAATAAGGTATTTATTAAACATAAAAGACAGGACATAAGATTCACAAAGCAAATTTCAGTTACTAGAATATCAAACCTCCCTTCTAAATTCAATGTTTTGCTTATATTTTAGAGAAAAGGGACTTTGACTGGGGGGGCCAAAATAGTTGAGTGGGAAGCCACCATGGGGGCTGGGGGGGCTTTGGCCCCCCCAGTTATATAGTTAAAAAATGCCCTGATAAAAACATCTTTAAGAGCAGCAAAGTCCAACTTTGTCCGGAATCAAATTGAGGAATATAAAGGTAATTCAAGATCTATGTGGAAAGTGATTAGCGGGTGTCTGCCAAGCAAAGATTCAGAAAAACCCGTTTACCAGAAAGACCACAAAAAATTAGCCAATGAATTTAATGAATATTTTGCTTCTGTGGGGAAGATTGCAGCCGACAAGGTCAAGAGACTTGCGGAAGTTAACAACATTCAGATGACAACTGCTTTACCACCTGCAAGACACCGATCTTCTCTTGATCTGTTTGAATTTAGAACAGTCACACCTGATGAAGTTAGAACAATTATTTTAAATAGTCCATCAAACAAAGCTCCAGGTGCCGATAAGATAAATATTCAATTCATTAAAGATTCACTTGAAGTGATTTTAGATCCTGTTACGGATATTATCAACTGTTCCTTGATGACGTCAACATATCCTTCAATGTGGAAGATAGCAGAAGTGGTACCGCTACACAAGGAAGGGGATCCTGAAATTGCTTCAAATAATCGACCGATTTCACTGCTGTCATGTTTGTCAAAAATATGCGACAAAGTCGCACTGAATCAGTATACAGAACATCTAACAAACCACAGATTATTAACGGAGCATCAAAGTGGTAATCGAAAGAAACATTCTACCGAAACACTTAACATTGCAGTGACAGACATGTTGTTGGAAGCTATGGATAATAAACAGTTATCTATAGTTATATTGTTGGATATGTCGAAAGCCTTCGATAGTGTTGATCACAACATGCTTCTTCAAAGAATTCTAAACCTAGGCGTATCTTCTGCAGTGCATAAGTGGTTTGAAAGTTACTTGTCTGACAGATGGCAGTATGTTAGAATTGGAACTACCTCTTCGGTGCCTGTTGCATTGTCGTACGGAATTCCTCAAGGCTCTGTTCTATCGCCGTTTTTATTTAATATATACACAGATAGTTTGTCTTTAGTCCCCAAGAGTTGTAGTCTTGAATCGTATGTTGACGATTCGAAAACATTTTTATCGTTTTCATTGTCGCATATGGAACACTCGTTACTGCATATAGAAGAGGATCTACACAGAATTTTTGAATGGTGTTGCAACAACAGTCTTCTTGTAAACCCAGAAAAGACCAAAATGTTGGTGGTTGGTACACGACAACTCATGAATCAATTGGAATCTCCCATTTATATTAATTTTATGGGAGAAAATCTTGCACCTGTGACAGAGGTTAAGGATTTGGGTATGCTTTTGGACTCCCATCTAACGTACGACAAACATATACAAGCATTGTCCTCATCGTGTATCTCAAAATTGCGTCAGATTGGTCGCGTGAAACACAACTTTGATCAGTCAACACTAGTTACAATCATCGATACATTAGTCATGAGTAAAATTAACTATTGTTCAACAGTATGGTCTAATACGTCAGATGGCAACATAAAAAAGATCCAATTAATAAAAAATTGCGCAGCCCGATTAATTACAGGGGTGCATAAGTATGATCATATATCACCAACATTAAACGCGTTAGGATGGTTGTCAATCAAAGAACATCTATTGTACAGATATGCGTTATTGACATTTAAATGTATGAATGACAAAGCTCCACAGTATTTATGTGATAATTTTGAACCACGAAACAGAATTCATAACCGAGATACTAGAAGAAATGGAGATCTGGATATTCCAAAATATAGGACATCGATCGGGCAAAGATCGTTCAAATACCGAGGGACTAAGATATGGAATGGTCTAGATACAGAGCTGAAATCAATTAGTGATCTGAACAATTTTAAGACGAAACTTAAGACAATTCTTATTGAGAAGCGATGTTCTTCTTTTTAACTTTTTTAACTCATAAACTATAATATATAGTATAATTTTAGTTCATGTAATAACTTTGATACGATTGTTGTAAATATATATAGTCGATAACTCATAATTTTTTTCTAAAATCCATGTAAATTGTCATTGAAAAGCCCATTTTAGGGAATGTCAATTAATAAATTCATTCATTCTTAATACGTCTAAATGTTTCACTGTGTACTCTGCCTGTTTCGTGTTTATACTGAAATGTTTGTGAACATGCTGCAAAACTGACACTTTAGATTGGAATAACTGTTGCGCTTTGCCACGTGTGTAAAGAAGAAGTAGGGGTTGGTCACAGCTGCACAAAATGTAAAAGGTCGGTGCATTTGATTTGTGGACATCCGGTTGGTGAAGAAGGTTACGGCCAACATGTTGTTTGCTTCAACTGTAAAGATGAAGGTATCTAGCTAAAGAATTAATTTTGCCATATCTCAATGGACAGTGCAACTAAAAAAATATTGTAAATCGTAAAGTTCACTTAGAATATAAACGCATAAAATATTGTATTTATCGCATAAAGTATTTTGCAAAAGATAACTCTCGTACAGCTTTATCGATAAATATTATGATTGCACAGGTGCAGGTGACGTAAACAAGTCTGGTTTGAATGAAGTAAAACAAGGAAGATCCTTGAAACGTCAGCTTACTTTAGACTGGGGAAGCTTCACATCTCAGAAACCCCAAGGCCCAGTTGCAAAAAAGCAAAAAGTAGATGACCAACCAAAACAGAGGGAAAACCATGTTTGTTTACAATGCATGGAACGATGTTTGCAAGGCAAACAAGAAGAAAGATCTTCAAGCATCTGTCGACTAGATAATTCTAGCATCCAACGACACAAAGACAGATGGCATAAATTACCCGACAGAGAAAAATGCACATTTGTGCCAGCATCATCCCCGTCAGTTGTCTCACTTAGGGACAAGTATTGCAAACGAAAGTCTAAAGTGTGTTCAACCACAAGTAAAAGTGAAGTTAAATTATTAGAAAATCAGTCGGTAAAAGATGCAGCAAAACGACCGAAGAGATTAAAGAATCAGCCCAAACGACACTATTTGATTTCAAACAACCAGATAGTGCATGTAATTCAACATCCGGTGAAGATGCACCGCTCAAACACGTTCTAGATGCTCTTTCTGCGTTGAATCTAAAAGTTGATGCCATTACGGATCAACACAGGACACTTGAGCAGTTAGCTTGTGAGGAGAGCGAAGTTAGAAAATCTGTCCAAAAAATACGAAAAGCGAACAATATCATCGAGCTCAACGATGCTACGCCCCTTCTCGAGTGGTTTTACGACGAAATTACAGAATGTGCTATCTTGCGATGTTTACCATGTTTTGAGCTTCACCTGGCTGCCCGACCAACACTTCGTCCTCTAACACCGTTCAGAGCACAACAGTTGCTGAATCCAACAGGGAATGGCACCCTCTCAAGTGGCATTTTTGTCAACAAAGAAACCTCGCGGCTGTTTATAACTGGTCATAACCAAGCTTGGTATCGCCAGAAGAATTACTGCCTTGATCATCTTTGTCTCGTTGGACGTGGATCAACAAAACACGCAAAAGCAATGGAGGAATATGGAAAGAGGAAGGAGCACCTACACCGAGAATCTACAGTATGCCAAAACCTCTTTCGAGCCGCAATTACTGATGTTAAGCTTGGGGCAGCTGGAAGACACTTTGAAACTCTTATTTCTTTCTTAGACAGCTGTTCTGTTGATGTAGGCACAATTGGACATGGTCGCAACAATTTTAATCATGTCATGTACTGCCTAGAGAAAGTCATAGATGAGAAAATAAGAGCGTGGCTTGCTACTCCTCTTCCTTCCACACAACTTCCTCCCCATTTTTGGGCAACTACTGATAAAGCAACCCCTTCCAGAACTACAAATCAAGCAGTTCTTATCGTCGCCAGGGACAGTAGTGGTACACCGTGTCCTATCCCAGTGGCAGCACCAGCAATTTATGATGATTTCAAAGAGGCTACGTACGATTCCCTTGCAAGGCAACTCTTAGATGCAATTTCAGAGCACTTTTCTCCTGAAATTCTGTCTCGTCTTTGTGGAGTTGGAGCAGATGGGCCTTATCAAGCTACCGGATTTAGAAAACATCTACGAGAAGCTCTTGGTTTAAAGAATGATGACGATCTTGCTCTGCCTGTTACGTGGGACACGGCCCATCTTCTTAATCTTGCTGTAACTGACGTGCGAGACGCCAAGACGGATAGCGGTAAATTTTTTCGGCAGTTCATTAAAAGATGTAACGTGTTTAACCATGTGCTATCCAACGGAAAAGGATTTGCGTTTCTACAAATGGTCAATGAAAATGCAAGGCGACCAGTATCCTATGCCACCCAAAGGTTCGCGAGTTCGTCATACGAGCAATGGGTAAAAATAGAGAAGAGCTTCGATTCTTTTGGAAAGCGTTTGACCTTCTTCACCCAAACCGCGCGGAAGACGAAGAATGGCAGTACATGATAGCGGGATCAGATTTTGTCCATGATCTCTTGGCACTTCTTGACATCTTAAGTCCTGTTGTTGATTTGATGGTTCACGCACAAGCCCTAGATACACCGGTTTGGAAGTTGAAGTTGTGGTGGCCCAAAGTCAGTGCAAAGTTGATGAAAGCTGCCAACGCAGATTCTGAAGCGTTTCCGAGACTGAAAGAAGTCGAACGAAATCTTGAACCGGGTGGTGTTTTTAGAGGTGTTACCCTTTTACCTGGATGGTTGGTTACAAGTGATGGCGGAAGAGATTCAGGAGAAGACCGCTTTAGCTGGACCCAGAGAGAACAACATGAAATCAAAGAAGACCATAGAAGATTTGCCAAAGATCTTAAGGATTCGTTGGAAAAACGAGTTACCTCTATTTTACACAGCGAAATGATGTCACATCTCGAAGTATTTGATGCAGCAAATCTCGTTAAGCTTCACTGTGGTACTGCTGAAGATGGAAAGATTACGTTCTTCCTGCCGGAAGGGGAAATCGAAGAGTATGGAGTCGAGGAGTGCAAAGAAGTAATGAAGGTAGCTTCAAAGTTATCTCACATCCAAGCTTCTGGTCTAAATTTTGATACACGTATGGCACACGCCTACATGGGCTTGTTGAAGAAAGCAGTCTTGGAAGGTGTATGGAATGGTATTTGTCCAGACTGGTTTGACGTTACGGATGTTGAAGTGGGCTCACCTTTTATCGATGGTGTTTCTTTACTAGAAATTCGTGCCGAAGAGTCAACCAATCTTGAATCGATCTTTGTCATGCGTTTCTCCAATGGAATGGTTCGGAAAGTGAGACTGTCTGAGAAGTGTGTTTATACGTCATTTTACTCAAACAAAGTCCTCTATGATATTGCACAGCCTCCATCATGTGCACTATTGGACATTGTTTTGGCGAAAGGCGGTCCAGAGGCAATAGCGGAAAGTTTTTACAATGCCATGCGCAACCAACAGCAGTCGGGTGGTCAGTCTAACGATACCCTTGCGCGGAGAACGAAGGTCAATTGGTGCTTGCCTTCCCTTAAACACTGTGAAAAGATAATTAAAGAAGGCGTACGTTTATATCTAGAGGGAGATGATAATATAAAAGCACATCGTGTCAACTCCTTCTTCTCCTCCCGAGCAAAGAAGTACGACTGTTCGAAAGTCATTGACCGTGTTCATGCTGAACGTGGACATTGTCCATTCCTAGCCGTGGATTGAACATCAGTCAATAGTGCACGGGTTGATTCATTTTATTAGCATTGTATGGATGATGGTCTCGTTCTCTCCTGTGTGAAATTAGACGGTCGATTTGCAGGGAAATGCGTTTTTGTGGTAAAGATGCTGTACAACACTATAACAGCTACGAGTTTTACCGTGATTAGCAATTAAAATTAAACAATGTTGTTGTTAAAGACGTTTTATTCTTAACTGTAAATGTAAACTTAAGTTTTTCAATGAATTTTTCAGTGAAAAATACGGCTAGATTCATTTTATCAAAAGTTTATGTGAATTTCGTTGATTCCATTGTGACTTGTGATTCAATGCAGTAAATTGCTGGGAAGTGCGTAGTTGTGGTAAAGATGCTATTCCACAATAACAACTAAGCATTTAGTGATTAAAATACTGTTGTTACGTAAGTTTCGTTAACTATATTATTAAAAGATGAATCCGCATATTGTTAAGAGTTATAAGTGTTCAATTTGGTAAAAGTTTTCTGATCATACTGTAATTTGTTGACTTGTTACTGTTGTAATTTTGTTAGGCGTTTGCGCTAATTACACAACGGTGTCAATTCAAGCAGAGGTGTCAACAGGTTGAACGGGGCCACGCCTCTTCGGAGGGCGGGGTCGGACTATGCCGCTCGTGTCATAACGTAATGGCGTGAACCTCAGCTTGCGTTGGCGTAAAAAAAACATTGTTTTGATGTATATCCGGCGTACGATTTACACAGAATGCACCCTGGCGTCAGAGCAACGTAGATATTAGGTTGTCGACGTCGCAACCTTTTTTCTACCAAATTTCAACGTTGAAACAACGTCGTGTGCCAGGTGGGAAGGGGGAAGGTCTATTAGATATCTTATTAATCTGCAATACATCAGAAACATTTTTGCATCGACAATTTAGTAGTTTGAAGCACAGAGAAAAGTAAAATGAACCCAATGAATATCATATCTGAGTAGCGCAGCTGGTGGTCAACAAGCGATACCATGCAGTACATCAGTAGCCTGGTACGAGATGACGTATCTGAGCTCCCTTTATTGGTGCATGAGCGCACGTCTAGAAACAATAATCTGGAAGCCGGATATATTGGCCAACTTAAAAATGTCATCCGGGTTACCGGGACGATATTGTTGTTTTCACATTGTTTTGACAGTTGGTAAAAATAGCTTGCGGCGGATATTAATCCCAGCAACTGGACGATGCAGTCCGGTTGTGAGTGTTTATTTATATATATGGATACATTTTCATCCCGGTAAGCGAGATCTTGACTCCTTCAACCGAGATCTCGAAAACCGGAATAGCCCACTGTCCATAAAATCGTACGGTACGTAACATACCAATCCAGCGCTAGATTTCACTTGGCTGTCTCGTTAACCGGGCAATTAAACCCGCGGCTTCCATATATAAGCAGCCCCTCAGTAAACGTCATACAATCAGGTTAATTTATGAATTGTTTAAAGCTTCAACCTTTGAGAACGGTCAGTTGAAACTTGGAAGTTGAAAAGAAAAGTCAGAATTTCTGGCAGAATTTTGGAGTTTATATATTGTCGCCAGGAGAAGAGAAGATTAACAAAATAGACATTGAAAAATATTACGAAAAATTTATAAAGGTATGAGCAAACACGAACTAATACATATTTCCAACCTCGTTCCCAGGGTATTTGCTCTTGGGAAGCAAAGACCATGGTGGACGCTGGTCACGTGACCCATAGAAAATTGATAGCCTCAGAGGGGGATGGAAAGGTCTCATATTACATGTTTCCACTTCCGCACTTCACACTTCGATTGCAAGGAGTGGCCGTGCTGTACAATAATCTTTGAGAATCATATATTCTTCAAAATTCTTGCTAAATTGGTTTCTGTTTGCCGTTTTAAATTATACAAACATGGTAAATTTGTTGTTTGTTTTTTAGAATTGGATCAAAAAGGTGGTTGCAGGTATTCAGATCCTGGAATGCTGTGAAATGGCCCTGCTGGACCTGTTGGAACATTCTATTGGGTGAACATCAAATGATGTGTGGAGTGAAATGAAATGAAATGAAATTTCGATTCAGTGTGACTGATAGAATTGGAATGGTTATAGATAATGATGATTTTAGTGAATTATGTTATGATGATGCATGGACTGTGATGATGTTGGTGAAGCTTGATTTATAACATATAGATATAAAGTGATGATAAACCTCCAATCTTCGTCAGTTGATATTAAAAACTAAGAAGCCAATAAACAGGCCTCTATTTATACGGTTCGTTAGCTATTAATTTGGATGCATCAGTGACCGATAAACGTCTGGAATGTCAATATGGTCATTGCCAGAACTTTTATCCACTTGGGAATACCAAGCCTCAAGGAAAAATCGTTTGCGATAATTTTTCTCTCTACTAACTATTTCGCCGTTTTCAAACTCCATATTATGGTCATATTGCTCAACGTGTTGGGCTATCTTGGAATTCTTATCATTATACTCAACAGCTATTTTATGTTCTTTTATTCTTGTTTTCAATGCTCGGTTGGTTTGACCATAATAAGTAAAATCACAAGCAGAACATTCATTTTTATAAACGATGTCCCTTGTACGGTTGGTGTCTAGCTTATCTTTTGGCTTTGGAAATTCTTGCTGTAATGTGCGAATATATATATATATATATATATATATATATATATATATATATATATATATATATATATATATATATATATATATATATATATATATATATATAATTCATTCTTGTTGTCCGTAATTGAACGAAGAGTGCTCAATACCAATATACGATAGAGCTTAAATAATTCTTTAATCTTAAAATATATTTGTCCCTACACTGTGTTTCACGCTTCTTTCGAAGCGATCTTCAGGCGAATGTAAATGTCGTATAAAAATGTAAATGTATGTAAATGTCGCACTATGTTGTTGCCAAGGTTATATATACTATATACATGTTTGACGTAAACGGAATGTTCAAATATTAAATTACGTATAGATTACAAATATATACAAATTATATTAAGTATGTATATTGGTTAAGAGAAATTTGTTTCTATATCAGCATTTCGATAAAAGTTCACTTGTTGAATTTAAAGTGCCTCAGTATATCACTCGTGGGATCTGTACGAATTTGGAAAGAGCACAAAACGTTAGTTAGTAAGTTCTTCAACCCTTTTTTATTTGATCCAGTATTTTCCGAGATATTGACCCTCAAACATGACAATTTTCAAAAAAATCCGTGGTTCTTGGGGGCGTGGGACTCAGGAACGCGAACGTAAACAAACACTATAGAATTGTATTATATTTTGACGCTGTAACTTACTAAAATGAGATTTTTTGCATAAAAAGTCGGTTTATTAAGCTCAAAATCGTTCTCTGTTACTGGGAAAAGATCCTACGATTGCGCTGAATATAAAATTGAAGGTGAAACGTACAAAACGACTTCAAAATCAAATTTGAAAGTGCTCCTTCGTATAGATGACATATAGCTTGGTCGAACATGAAAATGTTGGCATTTAGAGCTACACTGATAAAATATAGGATCCAGGCCAGCATCGCATGATTAAGGGGCTGTTTATGTGAGCCTCGTTTGCAGGGCTGACCGCCCTGTTTGAAAGGTCTTATATAGACTGTTGATGAAAATTATTGACTGGAAATTTGTATACATTTATTAACGACCCTACTATACAAGACCCTTCAACTATTATTGAATCGAGTGAAAAGCCAACAAAATCTCGGATATTTACTCATAACATAAACATGGCAGTACTCTCTTCTCTATATACATTCAGCGCAGGAAAAAAGAATTTTCTTCCTGGGAGCAAAACCTGGAGACAAAAATTTCCTGCAGACCAACCGAGTAATTTTGTGCTAAATCTGCATGTGCATAAACATATAGTGTTCTAGCTGACCTCGGTTTTAAATTCAAGGAATAATGTCTGTCAATGCTCGCCTATTTTTTCCGCCCCTGTATATATTGGTTAGAGTGCTGCACCTGAATTGCAGGGCAGCAGGTTTGATTCCTGCCCAGGACCTGCTGTTGCATTTTTCGCAACTGTGCCTGGTTAGGTTTCATAAATGCATATAAATTTCCACTCGATAATTTTCATCTATACAAGTCCCTTCAACTACTATTCAATTGCGCATAACCTGTCTTCTATAAGCTGTTTCTTGTTGATCAAGTAGTTTTTTAATCAAACATTTTATTGTACACAGTAGCATGAATTTCCTTTTTTCATGATTTTGACAAATAGACTAGATATTATTTTCAAAACATGAACACTATGTGCATGTGCTGTAACTTTATTAAATGCAAGTTAATGACAAAAAAATCAAGCATGCATTAATTAATTAAAGTTGGACCAACCACAAATCGAATTTTAGGTTTGTGTGATATAAAAACCTCATCTTGATCAACTTTTTCATTGTCAAAGTTTCTGACGTCATTAGATGAATATTGATACAAAAACAAAGGAAAACTAATTTACAATTCACATAATGACATCATATCCGGAAACTTGAAAAAGTCGATAAAGAAGGGTTTTTTATTATAGAGATAACATTTCTTCTAATGACACAAATATTACACATACCAAGAATCATATTCAGTAGTTGTGGTTAACCATGTTTTAAAATTATATTTCTTATTTTTCATCTTCCAAATATTCATATCCTTTGAAGTCATTATCTTTTCCATTAAAAGATGCAGATAGTTTGGTAAACAGAAGAACACAATGGTATTATTTCTTCTTTTTTACAACCATGAGCTAATATGGTGAATCACATGTATTATGCCACTGATATAAAGACCTAAAAGTATACAGATAATTATACCTTTAGACTTTAATAATGTATTACTTGCCTCCATAAGGCAAACCAGTGATCTGTTATAGCTTACTTAAGACACAGATTAAGAATATATATGAGAATATTCTTACAGTTACAGTAATCTGTGCAGCTCAAGCTTTGGCTTGAAATTTATAGCAAGGTGCATTATTATTAAACCTGTTGCAGTATTGCATTCCTATAATAAACAGGAACTTTGCTAGTAATTACCTAGCATGGCTCTAACTGAATATGTCCAAAGTATATAAAAATATTAAGTTAGGACCTCAAAAATTACAGCTTCTCCTTTGAATCAGCTTATACTGTACCACATGTTTGTCCAACACAGGTTTTCAAATGATCAGATCAAAAGCAATTGTCCAATTGAGGCAAACAGAATCAAATCTTGCATATTTTGTGAATGGCCAAATCAAACCGGTTATCCCTTGCCTTTATAGTTTTTTTTCAATAGTTTAAGCTATTAAATCTAAAATACACACATATTAAAAATCATCATTTTTCGTTTGTTTACATATTGCATTCGCTGAATATTAATTTGCCAAATGTGACTATCACACGATATTTACAAATAGAAAATATTCCATTCACTTACCAAGAACTAACACGATTATGCCTGTTCCATCTATAAATTATCTCTTTACATCCCTGTTATATTCTTCTAGTTTCAAACGTATTCTTCAGTAATGCCAACTCTTTCATGCTCGCGGCAATGCTTGACGACGTTTAGGAAGCCTCACTTTCAAATTTGATTTTGAAGTCGTTTTGTACGTTTCACCACGATTTTATATTTAGTGCAATCGTATGTGAACTTTTGTCATTTTAGTAAGTTGTAGCGGCAAATTGTAATATAATCTATAGTATTTGTTTACGCTCGCGTTCTTGAGTCCCAGGTCCCCAAGCACCATGGATTTTTTTACATCGCCTTTTATCAGAAATTGCATTGCAAGTTGCAGATTTACTAGAGGGGGGTGCACCCTCCAAGCCCTGACAGGCGAGGGTGCACGGGGGGGGTGCTTTTTTCATGATAAAGCAAAAAATAATAGAGACAAAATGAGATACAGTAATTTGAGCAATAACATGATGATAAGCAAACTGTGAACAACAATTCAAATGTAGTATGTTGATGGGCGAGTGGCACACATGACCGACACAACTCTGCACCAGAGCTTCAGTGGCGCCGCCAGCTCGATAATTGGGGGGGGCGAATATTCATATCTTCGTGTTCTGCATTATTAACTTCTTTTGAAATTGATTGTTTTTATGCTCTGTGAACACAAATATATGAATATTCGCCCCCCCCCCCAATTATCGAGCTGGCGGCACCACTGCAGAGCTTGCAGAGCAGCCCCCTACCAGATCATGCTGGATCGATCCCTGTATTATTTTATTTACACATGGAGGTGTATCTCTTTTGGTGGCGTAAAGGCATGTTTCTTGACACAAGTGACAATCCAAATTTTTAGATGGCTGTTTAAAATTTTAGTCAGCTGGATGGCAGGCTGGTTAATACCATGCAGTAATGCAGTAGAATAATCTTGAGCATAACATCTAACATAATACAGCAACAATATAAATTGTATAACTTTGCTTGATTTATAGTTACTGAATATATAAACACTTCTTACATTTGGTCAACTTGCACAATAGTTGCTTGAAATTTGTGTTACAAGCACAGTCAGCACTAAGCAGTTTACTCAGCGTTTACATAGTTGTTTACATGCTGTACATGTACTCAACAAATCCCCGAGATATTTCTCGCTATAGTAACATACAGTGTAAACATACAGTGTAAAAACACATGGGATTGTAAATTTGAAGTTTGTTCTTTGCTGAAATATCTCAAAATTTGTGTTGACAAACCAGTTTCAATGTCATGCACGTCCACTATACGTGTAACAGTAATCGACAATTCCAAGAGGCAAGAGCATCCATTATCCAGTTGAAATTTTGACATTTACCACTCCATCTGCATTCTAGAGTATTCCATTTCCCAAAAGTATTAATATTTGATGTTATATGCATGTAGGATACAGACCAAATATAAATTGAACGGTTGCAAAAATTCTTATAAATTCCATTCACATTTCACACTTCGTCTTTCGATACGATTTACATAGTTTCGGCGTGGTTTGACCATCTGTATTTCGTTAAATTCCGGCCATCCGTTGTAAGTGCAAAATAATCAATGTTTCATTCATATTTGTTTCAATTTGCAACATAAAAATGATATTCTCGATCGATATTTTTTCGAATTGTGTCTGAATATAAAAAGATCGTATCCTATGGGAGTAGGGGTAACACAGCTTTTGACATTTTGTAGTAGTTTTTATATGAACAATTAATCCCATGGGGGTGGGGGTAACATAGTCGGTCCACAAGGGTTACATAGTTGGTCCAAAGTCTTCGGGTTTTGGCAGGCATCGCCGTTATTAATATTTTTGCCTGCAAGAAATTTTTCCCGATAATCGAAAGGCCATGGCTGCGGAGGAGGCTAATTAAACCCCATTTGTCCGAACTAACACCCCCGAGAGGGGGAGGGATAATGGAGGATTTACGATGTTATAGATTGATGGCGGGGGTCGGTCAGCCCCGCCAACTAGTGTTTCGAGCAGTCAAAATTCATAAGAGGATGTGTGGACAATTTCACGTGTAAAAGTCTAAGCTGCACCAAAAGGCTATACTATTTTCGTGGCAAACGACCTTCGCTTGACATGTTTCTAATCTTTTTAAACGACGGCATACACTTCAATATCACTTCTTCTTATTATGTCAATAGTGTATAATGTCTGACGTCGCTTCCTCCACTACATATTTTGCAATCTTGTTTCTTTATCCTATGTGCATATTTGAGTCTGCAACAGTACCTTTCCATAGATAGCACCCAACGTGGCTCAGACATTTGATCATACACCTACCAAGGCATAAACACAATATTTACGATACATTATACATACTGTACAATATATGTCGACACAACAGTAAATGCAAAGTTCTCATATTATCTATATGATAAAATTACTGAATTCTGATTGGGTGAGAGCAGTATATGTATTGCACACTTGTAACTCCTCATTTTTAATTTGGATTTGAAATTTTGCATATTCAACTCATCCAGTAGCACATGCAGTCACTGTCGACCAGCGCACCTTAAAATTGGTTGCTTGGGTAGGCACAACGAAAATCAAGACTAGTGCTTTAAGCAGGACATTTTATAACTATATAACTACTGAAAAACTGACCACAGTACGCCCTTTGCTTTTTATTCGACCCAATTAAAAACATCTTACTCTTTCTTTGTTACTTTACATTGCAATTCAACTACGTATATTAGCTAGAATTTGTTATTGATATGCGCAGCAAAAGTGTACAATGAAAAACTGATGAATCGATGGTGAACAGACCCTCGTTAAGATTTTGTCCTAGTAGTTGTATAATTTCCTAAAAATGTCCTGGCTTTAAGTCTGCGTTGAACACTGCATTGTCCTACCTTTCTAAGTGCAGGCGCCATCTTATTCGTCAATGTCGCAGCAACGATCATCACATCTGACTGTCGCTAAAACCAATAAAACACGCAAGACTAGATGGGATAACTAAAATTAATATTTTGTGGAATGATATATTTGTTCCGATGAGGTCACGAAAAAGGAACTTTGTAGGAATTATCCTAAGTAGGTATCCATTATCAGTTTTACAAAAAGTACATCATTTTCGAAAATAACCAGGCTATAAAGTAGACCATGCAGGTTGAGGAAAAATAACTTTATTTGAAAGCTTAGAGTGGAGGAAAGAGAGCAGCATTGAAATTTCAAATAAGCAAAGGATAACAGCGCATTTTGAAAGCCTTATGCTGTCAAGCACATAATGAAAAAATCAGTATATACCATTTATTTATTAATAAAAAAATATTTAGAAACACTTACCGGGCTGGCTCTGAAAACGACTCCAAAACGATGCATATCGTACCTGCATGAATAAATAATAAACAATTAGCGTTTTGAGCATTAGTTCTCTTAATACCAGATCCTCTTAGACCAGAAAAAGCTTAATAAAAAGGAGGCAACACATTGACTTGAAAGAATACTGGAATTTGTCAGTGCATGCTGAACAAACACAGTGTCACAATAACATTCGGGTTCGGAAAATGCGACTACAGAGCTTTAGCAGGTTGCACAGAAACCAGAGAAACGATCAATTATCAAGCTTCAAACATGACAGAGATTTTCAGCAACAATAACAACAACAACAAAGGCGATGACCATGCACAACAACAACGACAACAACAATTTAATTATATTCAGAAAACAATATCCCTTAAAATATAATCGCATATAATTATATTAACGTGGTCCACCAAAATGCAACATTTCAACTGCACAGCAAGCAAGATCTAATAGAGTCATTGGCCACATTGAACTCTGTTGAAGAAAACAAACATTAATTCAAAATCAACTTTCTTTTAAGATATAATCTGTAGCTTAGAAAGATAATTTATTACACTCACCTCTTCCCCAGTTAACCAAATCATCTATCTTTGCTACAACATAATCTGTAAATAGAAATATAACAAAAATATTACAAAATCAGGCACGGATCCAGCCAGACCTGGTACGAGGGTACCCGTCCATCGAGCTTCGGTCAAGGTCAAGGTCAAGGTCATGGTTCAAGGTGCGACAGTTGACCACTATACAGGGACCCACAGCAACAAGGCATTAGCTGTAGTCTTTTTTGATAATTTCGCAATCATGTTATAACTATCTTATTTTGTCTCCATTTTAATTAATTTTGTTATCCTAATACACCCTTCCGAAAAGTAAAATAATGCAGTAACGATTTTAGTAAGCTGTATCCTCCCATAAGAATATTATTTTATGTTGCTCCAACATGAATTAGTTTTGATCAGTTTTGGTATATCAGAATAATTTATTTCAAGTTAAGTACTTTCTTCGAAAAAATACACTAATTGAAGAATTGCCATGTTTATCATGTTCACTCACGTCTGATCATTCCCATGCTTTGTCACCCCCCTCCCTTGGGAGTCCCTTTTGCTATCTTTTCAGTTCAGTCTACACCGCAGAGGGAGGCGGGTTCAATGAACTACCATCTACCAGCTGCACTATTTAGCCTTCCTTGCTTCTTCACTGGAACTATTACTGCATTTCGTCTCCCTTCACATGGTACGATGCTGTATGAAGCCAAAAAGTATATCAGATATAGTAATTGGACATTAAAGGCACAGTTCAGCCTTTTGAATGATGGTTCTAAGGCACATTTGAGCCCTTTTAATTGGAAGAAACTAACGTTAACTAGGAAAATCAATTATGCATGATTCAAGATCAGCAAACTCAATGTTTTGAACAATAAAAATGTTTTAAAATGTTAAAAACAATAATTTTCCTAGTTAGTTTTTTCAATTAAATAGGATATAATGCGCTTTACTGAAAAACCGTCATTCAAAAGGCTGAACTGTGCCTAAAAGTGAGAAAATAAATATGCTTTTTACTGCTGCACACCTAACAAATAGATAACATTTTTTGTTCTTTGTATAATTATAGATAAATGGATGACGTCAGAACCATGAATACAGTCGGTAAGCTTTATATATAGCCTATGAGAAAAGTTTTTTATACCATTTTCCCCAAGCTAATTATAGTTTTTTCCCCTTTAAATTGAAGTAAAAATACGAAATTTCGGCATACTCCTGGAAGCTTCGTGTCCGAAGTTGTAGTTGCTAAAAGCAATTTGATTGGCTAAGACGCAATCACGCAACCTACATAAAATTCAGTTATCTTCTAGCAGATAACTGAGTTATCTGCAAATGAGCATGTGATGATTGGCAAGAGGTATCTATTTAACACAAACAAATGTATAATAAAACAATTATTGAATTCGGTTTTTGTGATATGCAAAATTATCAAGGTCTCGGTAAGCGTTATCAACCTCGCCTTCGGCTGATAATTACGCATATCACAAACACCTCATCCAATAATTGTTAAATGTCTTGGGGCAAGTAATATATAGAAAGGTGGCTAACTACAGTTAGTGTGATAAGAGTTAATTACTATTTAACTATCCAATAAGAAGCTTTAATCAAACGAAACAAAAGACATTACAACAAACAAAAGGCGAGTTAGATATGGGATCGGCGAAACCGACTCGAAGTCCCAACACATATATTTCAACTAGAAATTTACGCTACGAAAACGAAAAATTCAATAACATACGTTCTCTAATATACCACTAACAGCCCAGTCTCTTGTTCAGGTTGACTGCACATACCAACTTTAATTATTGCACAAACAAATTAATTTAGTAGGAATTATTTCAGAAAATAATCCTCATCCTAACCCATGCGCTAATACCCTAATTCTAATTTTAAGAGACTACACAATATTGGCTAAAAGGTGATAAGGGTTTTATACACCAGGGAGCGGTTGTACGAAGGCCGGATAGTGATTTTTTCAAACTTTGTTAAATCAGTCGTTGATTGGTACAACTCGTGGTAAAGTTTAGTATTTATACGTTAAATGTTTTTTTATACTTCTTGTGTCGTCTATATTCGTAGTTTCACAGTTTTTCAAGCATTTTACAAAGGTTGAAAAATCAATATTCGGTGAATAGCGCTATCCGGCCTTCGTACAACCGGCCTCTGGCCCTGAAATTGTTGCTTTGCGGAAGAAAAGCTGGATAAACAGTCGTACGAATCAGAACAAACAATAATGGTATAAGGAACGTGAACAGTGTAGAATTTTTAAGATTCAACTTTCAAATGACGAACCGGATTTAAAATAATTAATTTAAATTCTTTGATTTTATAAAACATTTTCGATTGTTTTAACGAATTTGCCATTTGCCCAAGAGTATTTGTGTCGCCACCTTAAAAATTTTTGTTGCCATTGTCCTTTATTGTTTCATTTGAATTAGGAGCGTTTAACTCTTTCTCGACACATTCCTATTAATGTAAATCACTCATGATTTACTCACTTCGCGGTTCATATCTTCAGTTCGGTACACGCTACGTGGATCAAAATACCTCCATTCGATTCAGCGTAACGATAGCTACTCATTCCTATCGATATATTTAGTCAAATAGTCAAACGAGCTCGTATATGATCAAATTACGCAATATTACTATAAAGCAAATGAGAACCATACAATAAATGTTTTAGTCCTTGTTGGTATTTTAACGCACGCTTTATCTTTAATGTAGCGCTAGCTACCACAAAGCTTTTCGCGCGGATTATATTTCGCGCAGTACTAAAATTTGCGCACTCAGCGCTACACGAATTCTAGTACTGCGCGAATTTTAATACATGTACGTAAGATATATTGTTGACATTTGGCTAAAACTATCGTAAGGAATTAGGAGATTTTGTTATATAAAAACTAGGTTGTGTAGTCAAACTGTCAACCTTAACTTGTCCTTGTTTATATTCCACTATATTGTATAAATTCGCTGGGTCCAAATTTTGGGGTTTTCGAGTCGTTTAATACAAAAAGAAAAACATTAATTCAACACGTAAGAAAGTCCAGAGTGCGACACAAAGATGAATACAAGTACACAACGGATGTTTATGAGTCTATAACGTATATTTATAGTTGTTTATTAATGTCAAACTGTCATACCTTTAACTTGTCCTTGTTAATTGTATTCCACTATATTCTATGTTCCACTATATTGTATATTAAAATTCGCTGGGTCAAAATTTTGGGGTTTTGGAGTCGTTACACAAAGAATTAATTCATCGTTACATTAATTCAACACGCAAGGAAGTCCAGAGTGCGACGCAACGTAAAATTGATAGGAAACCAGCACAACTCTTTGAAAATTCAACGAAACTGTGTGAAATATATTTTGATCACTCAGCCAAAAGCCGCCATTTTGAAACTGGACTGAATATGTCACCCTTGGAGTTCGGTAAATCAATTTTGAACGCTGGTTGTTCAGACATTCTGATATCAGCTCGTCTGATATACGATACACCCCTCAAAGCATGGAAACGCTTATATTGCACTGCAGTTTATATTATTGCCAAAAGTAGCTAAAATATCCACCGTAGTTGAAGTGGGTTTCATCTATTGGACATCAGAATGACAGTTAATGAGGTTAAGAATTAATCCGAGATGACGGACAGCTCAGTTCTTTCAGTCAAAATATTTCAAGAGTTATTTTTAAACGTTCTTTCTATTGACAAAATATTTTTTTTTGTAGCCATTGTCCTGTAAGTGATTCCGGAGGGCAAACATGTACAGTTGGCCATTATCAAAAAACATTCGAGAATGCGATTGTCAAACTGTTATCAATCTCGTTTCCAGAGCATGCCCGTTCGCAGTTGGTGCTAACGAGATTGAATTGTTATTAGCTAAATTCAGCGCAATTTCCCGCAGAGCAATCAGATGTCGCCATTTTCAAATTGTCGATTTCACGAATATTTCGACACGAAACCATGACACGTTTTTTGCGCGAGAGGAAAAGACCCGCGGTATAGGTAATACTTTGATCAGTCAAATATTAATGGATTAGAACACATGCCAACACCGCCTCCTGTTCTGTTAGATCGATGTTTATGGAAACATTTAAAGCCGTTTATGTGTACTAAATGAGCAGAATCTTGTAACCAAGTCTCTGTGATACAAATAACAGAGAATTGCATATTTAAAATGTCCAACAATTCAGTCAGTTTTTGAAAATTACGCACAAGAATACGAATATTTAAATGTAAAGTAGAAAATTGTGACACATAATGGGTCTCCTTTTTGAACACATCATTAAATTGGTCTTTAGTAAAATAATCACAGTTTTTATTCAGATCAGCGAAAAAATACGAATCTGGATCGTAATCTCTCATTAGTTTAAGTTGTTGGTTTGTATTAGAAAGTAAAGGATTATAACTCAAACTGGCCAATCTACCATTGCCAAAATTGATCGTGCAATTTTGCATCTCAAACATTGCTAAGTTAAAACTATCATTAGCTAGATCATAAAAGGGTACGTAGTTATCTGCTATCACCCAGTGCTGCAGCCATATTTTACCAATAATGTAAACTAATTTAATATTGCAACAATAAAATAAGGGTACTTGGCCAAATGAAGTTGACTTGTTCGCTTTAGAAATCATCAAGTTCTTTTATCGAGGCGAATGATGTAGCACGAGAAGTATCGTTCTTCTTCAAATAGGATTTACCATATTTTGTCCAAGCGTATTTAAAAACGATGGGATTTTCGAACTTGTCTTACTTGATAGTTGATAGTACAATTCTCTGGCTTTCGGCGTAAGGCTTTCATTAACATATGACTTATTATCAGAACGTGCAAAATCGAGGTAGGACGAACTACGATTTTTTATCTTTCCCTTCGATTCGTAGAGTTTATCTCTAATGCTTCGTCTCGCGAACTTTGCGATAATTGTAGGAATGACGCTCCTTTTGGAAGGCAAGCGATGGCTTGTCGAGATATCCGATGGTTTAACTTCAACTGCCATTAAATCACCGATTTCCTTGACCAGTTCATCTGCATTTTCGTCCGGCATCTCTGGTACTCCATGAAACTCTAAACAGTCTCTTCGAGAATATAGATTGATATTTTCTTGATCTTCTTCTAGTTTAGATATACGGTCCGCCATTTCTTTAGCCAAGATATTTTACTGGGCATTTTTGAGCTTCAGATGGCTGTTTTCTTCTTTTAACAAGCTAAATGAATTTAATAGTTCGTCGAACTTATTGCTAATAAAATCTTGGCTCAATTAAATTTTGTCATTTCTCTTTGAGCATGCTTCCACAATTATCCCATAAAGATGAACAATACTCAAAATATGGGAGAACGAGAGAATTATATAAATTTTGTAGTGTTTCGGATGGTACAAACGGCTTTACTCTTTTGATGATTCCAATACCGGAGCCAACTTTCCTACATATTGTGTCTATATGGTTTTCCCAACTCATTCTTTCATTCTTTCATTCTTTCATCTAGTTCTACTCCCAGACATGGAATAGAGGAATATCGAGTAACCGGTTTATCATTTATCATAACCTGTTCATTACCAACTTTTTTTTTTAAGTTATAGGGTGATCCTATAAACATTGCTTTTGTCTTTTTTGTGTGAAGTTGCAATTTATTTCGAAAGAGCAATTTGACTATATTTTCTAAATCCTGATTAAGTTTGGTTACTAGCTCGGAGAAACTTGCGGAAGATGCATACATTTGAGTATCGTCAGCATACATGCCAGGAGTTGTGTTTTTCAGACATTCTGGCAAATCATTTATATATAGTAAAAACATGAGGGGTCCCAAGATAGATCACTGTGGAACTCCGCATACAATTTCCTTAGCCAACGATGTGTGGCCATCGACAACACAAACTTGGCTTCGTTTCGTCAAATAGGATTGGAACCATTTTAGCTCAAAATATTGAACACCAAACTGGTCTTGCATCTTCCTTAATAGGATTTTATGATCAATGGAGTCAAAGGCTTTCCTAATATCAACTGAAATTAATCCGGTTATTTCTCCATTATCCATATTTTCAAACCAATTGTCACTCATTTCTCAATAAGGACAGTGTCGAATGTTTGGGCCGGAAGCCCGATTGAAAACGTGAAAGTAGGGAATTGTCTATCAGATATTGATAGAGCTGTCCAAATACTTCTTTCTCGAATAATTTGCTGATAATGGGAAGAATATATATATATATATATATATATATATATATATATATATATATATATATATATATATATATATATATATATATATATATATATATATATATATATTGGGCGATAGTTTTCACATTTCGTTCTATCTTCTGTTTTATAAACAGGTATTACCCTAGCTTTTTTCCAATCATCAACATATATCCCAGTAGAAATTGAGAGATTTAATATATAGGTCATAGCCTGCGAGCAGGCTCTCTGGGGAAAGAGAGCCTGCAAGGATCCCTTTGATGATTCGGTGCATGCGTCCAATATTTGGACGCAGTGCTCTGATTGGTTGATAACTGATTCATATGAAGTGATTGACAAGCTTCCATAAACTTGCACTTCCCGTTTGTAAAACCGAGCAACGCAAAGCTTCGGAATTGCGGCAATGTAGAGATAAAAGTGTCATGTATTTTGATCCTGGTTGACTTTTTACTGTAAATTAATATAGTATTCATATAAAGACGAATACTAAAAGCTTGCATGCTTTATTGTGTCCTTGGCTTGTCTGACTCCTAAGCTAAGAATAATTCTTGAGAAAGACTGCACAAATTCGCAAACCGAAACCTAGGGACAAGGCATTATATCGCTTCTCTTTTATGAAACAATATTGGGAATTCTGATAATATTCAGTGCATATTGTGTGTATTAAGCTTGTTTTACAATGTTATACTGACTATTTAATATTTATAAGTATGCGGCGTTAAAATGTACAGTAATTTACTCGTCACTTTGTTTACAATAATTATCACATGCATGTTTACTGCAATTCCACTTTTGTTGCAAAATTTGAACTATAAACATATTATTAAATTATGTCCAATGTCCATGGTATATCATATATGTCTATGTCTCACCAAAGCCATAAATTTCAGTAAGTTATATTATTACTATATATAGACTGTATACAGTGTATATTATATATTGCAGCACGAAGCAATTCCAAATAACTGAATTAGTTAGCGGGTAATATACAACTTTAAACTTACTGTGCCTACAGGAGAAACACATGCAGATTGTAATAAAAAGTACAACTTGATATATTACTCTGTAAAACCTCGAGCCGTTTTAACTTTTTAGTATGCCACAGTGGCGGTCTGTATACGAAACTATTAACGAATTTGAAACGAATCGGTTTATGTTTACAATATCGTAGTGTATTCCGGTCTGCGCTGATTGGTTGTTATTAATTGACCTGTGACATCATAATTGAAGGGTGGCACGCAATCATCATAGGGATCCTTGCAGGCTCTCTTTCCCCAGAGAGCCTGCTCGCAGGCTATATAGGTCAAGGATGGGGCAATAATATCGCAAGATAATTTCAGCATTTTGGCTGGTATTCCATCAGCCCCGGTAGCCTTGGATACTTTTAGATTTTTCAGGTTTTTTAGAATATTGGATTCAGTAATTGTATGGAAATAGAATTTTGAATTTTCACCAATTGAATTACAATGCATGTCTTCAAGACGTCCACATTCAGCAGCGAGTGTTGGGCCAATATTAACAAAATAGTCGTTTAATTGTTCAGCTATTTGTTTGCGATCATTATATATTATGCCATTAATATTAATTTCTGCAATGTTAGATGATTTCCCACCTTTGCCCAATAGGGTGTTCATCAGTGACCATGTTTTTTTCATGTCTTTACCTAGGGAAAATTCCTTAATTCTTGTTTGATAATAGACAGTTTTGGCCCTTTTCATTTCCGAGTTAACTTTATTTCTCTCCGATTTATATTTATCCCAGTGAACCTGGGAATTATATCTCTTTGCTCTCTTTTTATGATAGTCTCTGGATCTTATTAGTTTTTTAATGTTGGAATTTATCCAGGGAACAGAATTGTGCTTAATGCTTTTATAAATTAAGGGTGCATGTCTGTCAAGAACTTCCAAATAAAAAGATTTCCAGATATGCCAATTGTCGTTCGGGTTCATATACTGTGTAGCTAAATACCAAGGTATTCTGGACAGTTCCTCAATAAAATCAGTTTCATTAAATCTTTTGAAATTTCTAACTTTGGAACGGGTTTGCCTATATTTAGGTATGGTCACTTTTTTCACTGCAAAAATTAAACTGTGATCTGACATTCCCAAGTTAATAACACCACTATTGGAAATGTTATTGGGTTGATTGGTGAACACTAGATCAATAAAAGATGATGATGTACTTGTGACTCTAGTTGGCTCCTTGATCAATTGCTCTAAGTTATATTATGTGCTCAGAAATATTAATTTTTTGGTACTGGAGTCTTTTGGTGTCTTAATCATATTACAATTTATGTCACCAATAACAATCAACTCCTTACTTTCAGCATCACATTTACTAAGAAATATTTCAAAGAAATCAAATAATTTCATCTCAGAGTTGGGCCGTCTGTACCATGCACTAATGAGAAATGGCCTACTTCGTGGTTTACAAATCTCAATACAAATCATTTCAAGATCATCTGAATTTAAATCCTTCCGCTCATAGAAGGAATATATCTATAATAATATAAACAACCACTCCACCCCCAAATCTATTACGATCTTTTCGAATCATATTATATCCTGGGATACTTATTTCACTATCTTTTACTGAATTATCAATTTTAGATTCGTTTATAGCAAAAACGTCAATTTCAGAATCGGATAACATCAGTCGAAGTTCATCAACATGTAATGTAAACACCAATCGGAGCAATTTCGGTTCAATGCGTGACTCAAGATGGAATCTGGCAAACAACAACTTACTATTCTAATAATATATAGAAGAAAATACGACGGCATAGATGGGCGGGGCGGAAGCTGTTTACACTTGGGCCGTAACTTTTCGCGAACGAAACAAAAACTGATCCGATACAATGTAAACATAGCCTTAATCTGTTATATTCACCTAGGTGAATATAACAAAATCTAAATTTTCAAAATGGCGGCTAGCCGTTTTGTTGAAGTTAGTGATAATGAAATAAGCGAAATTAAAATGAATTCAGACAAGAAAAACACAAAAAAAACTTGTGCAAAAATACTAAAACAATTATTCGCCTCAGGCTCGTTGTATCTGCGAAGCAGATATATTATTATTATTATTATTAATGGTTTATTATAAAAATCGTCGCGCTCGATGAAAGCGAATTGCGAAATTATTTACAAACTTTAGTTAAAAGTATTAAAAAGTACCTTGTGTTAATACTGGCATTATATTACAACAATAGTTTACTGATCTATGAATTAATATCGAAAGAACTTTTAAATTTACAAAATTTACAAAATTTATAAATTATGTGATTGAATACACATAGTAGGAAAAAAGCTTTTCTTAAAGCGCTCCGTCTTACAAGGAAACAGTGTTAATCTATTTCCGTACCTTAAATTACAATTGTGTCCATTGGCCCGAGAAGGTGGTATTAAATGATTAAGGCGTGAATCAGGCTGTCTGATTTTGTCAAAAGTTTTTATGCACAAACCATCACGTCTTGCGCGTAATGTCGAACATTTAGCTTGGTCCAGAGCAGCGTCATAGCTTAATGTGGGGTAGATTATTCGCATTGTGCGCTTCTGGACCCGTTCAATTTTATCTGACAAGTTAATGGTCAATGATGAATGCCATACCGGACAGCAGTACTCAAGCAGGGATCTAATAAGTGCAAAATGTACTCGTAGTAAATGAAACGGTGAAACTCCACTGCGCTTGAGAACTCGTAAGATGTGTAGTCTTTTTGATGCTTTGGTTACTATCTCACTGATATGCAAATCCCACTTCAGATTATTCTGGATCGTTAAACCTAATACTTTGTGGGATTCTATTCTTTCAAGACTAATGGTTTCAACAACTAAGGTGGGTGGTGGCTGCTCAATATCTCGTCGAAAGGAGACAATCATCTCTTTACACTTTTTGGGGTTCAATTTCATATTATTGGTACTTGTCCAATAACCAATTGCGTCCAATTCGTTTTGTAGTATAGATACCTCCCTTGTTGGAACAATCTCAGATATCGTAACGTCGTCTACGTACTTCCAATTACTGGAACACGGGGATACTATTTTCAAATCATTAATCATTATGACAAAGAGGATTGGACCCAATTTGGTACCCTGTGGGACCCCAGCACTAGTTGAAAGCCATCGGGACACGCACTGTCCCAGCTTAACACATTGGCGGCGATTTGAAAGGAAGCTACAAATCCAAGGGATTATTGAACGGCGTACTCCCAAATCGATCAATTTTGTTATAACAATATTGTGGTCTATTCTATCGAAAGCTTTGCTAAAGTCCAGAAAGCAAGCTCTAAGGTAATGACCTGGGTTGTCCATTTTAGAAAGCCAGTTGTGGATAAGATCTAGAAGGCAAAGGGTGGTAGATGTTCCCTTCAGGCTGCCATACTGACGATTATCGATTTGTCCACCTATGTCCTCAACCATCCAACTAACCACAAAGTCTTCGAGTACTTCCGATAACACAGGGGTAAGTGCGATGGGGCGGGTATCGCTCTCAACCTGGGTTTGTTTCGCTTTAGGAATGGGTATGATGGTAGAATCTTTCCATAAAACAGGTACTAGTCCAGAGGACAAAGATGTATTAAATATTGATGTAACTGGCTCAGCAAGTTCGTAGGCGAACTCTTTTAAAATTCGTGATGGAATACTGTCCGGGCCCATAGCCTTATTAGTCTGAAGTTTTAAGAGCTTACTACAAACCTCATACTCGTAAACGTACTGTTACCGTACCATGACCGTACCGTATGTTAGCACATAACCATTCAGCGACGAGCTTATATATTTTAAGCTATTTTATGCCAATTTAAGCCAATCAGCGATTCGTTTACACCAATTGTTTACATCGTGCCCGCTGATCTAACCCGCGAACGGGCATACTTTAGCCTCGTCAGGCCTCGTGTATAAATCGTGTTTTATAGTCTTTCAAAAATATCTTGATATTTTTATCAATTTATCTTGAATTGGCTGACTTTTCACGAATATTTATCAACATGGAATCTTATCCTCATCTGGTAAGTAGTCAAATACCACATATTATATATTTAAATACCAAATTTGTGCAAATATATGTCCCACATATTTTATAATACATGAGTTCGCCAGTTCGGCAAATATTTACTATACTATCTATAGTTAATATTGCCGTATCTTTGGCGTAGAGTTTACATGGAATGCACTCTGCAATTTTTTTATTAATATATTACACTGTTAAAATATTGGATATTTTCGAGGATATTTTAAGCCATTTGTCAACATAGTTCACAAAAAGATTTATACAGTATTAAAAACAATCCTTCTGTGACTTCTGTAATATTTTAAACAGTGAAAACATTCTCAGGAGACATTGAATTAAATCCTGGTCCTGTATTTCTGTATATTGACTCCATAACTCTGTTCAAAACAACAGTCCAACTATAAAGCTGTCATCAAATGTAGTGTTAGAGCAAAGGTTGAAGATGTTATCATTTAAAATATTTAAAATATTTGGTCAATGGCACACAATGTACAAAACTAAACTTGTGATACCTTCTACTCAAACCGATAATCTCCCACAACACAATTGTTTTAGTGTGAATGTGCTGTACGTGTTAAACCGAACAGTGTGGTATATCACTAACTGTGCACAGAACTGGAATTTAATTATATACTTCACTCATGACCTTCAAAACATTCTCAATTATTCAGTGGTCTTCGACATGTTCACCAAATATTTTGTGTATGTTACTCAACAGTTAACATTGGCAAGTGTAAACAACAAGTGACATAACTTTTGCTTCATACGATTACAATAACGTTGATTGAGTATGGATTGAATTGACAGGTGACAGTTTACTAAATAGCCGGCTGTATAGACACTTTGAATATTGTTTGCATGAAATTTTTATTTCCTGACTGCATAAATATCTGTTACAATCATAATCACATTATAAAGTTAGTTAAATTTTCTCAGTGCGGGGGTGGGGGTAGCACTTGCCCTGCTGCTCTCCCCGCTGTGTACAGCCCTGTTTTAAATCTTATCTGCCATTATAATAAGTGATGAAATATTTCAATTGTCCCACGTCATCTTCATTATTCAGTTTCTTTCAAGAAAATACAAAATGCGAATCAAGTTTTTTCGCAGATACATGTACGCGTCGCGTACCTATTTTTTTGCTTGCTTCGACTTGTAGATTATTTTGACTCAGGCACCCAGCGTAAGCATAGATATCTCATATACACTAGATAGCGCATCCCACCCTGTAGGCAGGCGAAAATTGAAGCCTGATCGCAGTCGCAGTTTACGTGCGGCGGCCATATTGGTCGTTCCCACGGAGCGTGATAATTTGTATATTTTGTATGGCGGAAATGGACAAAGTTGACAATAAATCCTCTTTTATGCAGTCAATTTTGGTTTTTCAAGTGTGCAACTTGTTGTAAATGATGCCAGATCGTTGGAGCTTCATATTGTGAATAACGGGTAGGCAGAATTTAATTTTTTTTTTCGAAAATATCAATATTTGTCGACCCGTATGAAGGGCGCCCATAGGACAAACCTTATGGACAAACCATCATTGTTGATGTATATATAAATATAGTTCCACCAATTCCAAATAAAACATTTTGAGCCATCGCCATTGCTTCATGGCAAAATTGTGAATGTATTTGCATATTCTTTTGTAAAAGACAGCGACACTGAAAAACATTATATTTTAGTCACAGTTTATCAATGGCAAAAATAGACTTAAAATCTTAAATAGTCAATATATAAAACATTGATACCAAAAATGGTTCTTACTCCTTACTATTTGTATATTTATTACATACATACAACATATCATATATTATTTTATAGTTCCATGGAATCATATCAAGATTAAAATGTGTTAGAAGCTAGAGAAGAATAATTGCAACTTAGTATATTCGCAGGCAATATAACATAATTGATATTGCTTTATGTAAATGTAGTTGATAATCAAACTTTCTAAAACCTTCAATTGTATGAATGCTTCAAACTACCTTTAATATTTGATGTTAAGAAATATTTTTTTCTGTTGAGTCCTAGACCTTTTGTTTTTAATTCAAGCAATCAAACTGCCAAATTACTGTAATTATTAACAGCATAGGTCATTGATAATCAGCTGAATTTTAGAACTGCTTTGGGAAACCCTATTTTGTAATGAGACACATTACTTCTTGCATTATTGTATATTGTATATTGGTCAATGGGATAAACTGCTTGATGCACAGTAGATTTTATAATCTTAAATATAGTTGCACTCACTATTGTATAAATAATTCTATTGTTATAATAAAGTATTACTTTTGACTTTGTGTAATAGTGTTTTCTAATTCTTTGACTCATCAGATGCACAACAATTAAACTTTTCTAAAAAAATAAAATAAATTTGCCAGTACTCTCAGGAATTGAAAACATGATAAACTCTCAATTTTTGCCTTTTGAGTTTAGTGGTTACTGTAAATATCATTAAAAATATCCAATTTAAAAAAAAATTTGGAGACCTGAAGAAGTTTTGGTGCCAATTGAAATTAAAAATTTGAATTAAACTCAGAAAATTTCATAGCAATGGGTAAAGTCATTCCTGATGCAAAAAGTATAAGAAGTAATAGTGAAGGGTCAAGTGACAGAATCAAAAATCAAAAACCTTCCCAGGACATTTCATCAGTAAGCAATTTATTTTTAGTTTTTTACAGTATACTATTATATTGATTGAAATTAGACTTGCATTAACATGATAAACATCCCTAAGGATGAAGTACTATGAAAACAGTTGATACAAAATGTTCATCAAGAAAAGTGGTCACCCAAAAAGCAGATGTTTATATGTTCTGACCACTTTTGTTCTGGTTGCATTGTCCATACTGTTCTGTTCTCAGAAAGCAGACACTTATATGCTCTGACCACTTCTGTTCTGGCTTCATTGTTCATTGTCCATATGTTCTGGCTTCATTGTCCATACACAATCTTTTTACTGAGCTAGATCACCATATTTTTGACTCACCAGTTGGTGAAAATATGTTATATTTCAGTTGACCAAGAGCATCATCAAGAGTTACTGTGAGGTTAAATTTTACCATCTTGGAAAAAAGACCACTGAGAATTCATCTGGACAAAAAATTAGAAAGAAATTAAATAAACTTGTACCTTTTAAGCACCAGTGTGAGTGATTACACAGAATGTATCAGAGAAAGCTAAATATTACTAAAATTTACTCGGAAACTGCCCAAGCTGAAAGTGCAGACTCTGCCTCAAACATAATTTTACTAAAGATTTATAGTGAAAACTGCCCAAGCTGAAAGTGCAGACTCAGACTGTCTCAAACATTTCACTAAAGATTTACAATGAAAACTGCACGTTACTTACCAACTTCCATTTCCATAAAGTGGTGCCAGAAACCGTAAGTACATGCATTGATTAGACGATACTTCACCAGAGAATCATTCACAGATTCAAAACAAATATATAAAGAATGTCGTAATTCGAAATTTTTAGCTTTAAAATGCGATTCAAAGACAACAACATCGCCAATTAATGTTTTTTTCTTGTACCCTTTTCCAAAAAAGCTGCGATTTCAAGGCGAACGTACCTCAAAAAGGTATTTTTAATCCAGAAATGAAAAAAGCCTATTTCATTGATGAGTGGGAACGACCAATATGGCCGCCGCCTATTTTCACGGGGGAAACCGCTGAGATTTTTGGCTTCAGTTTTGTATTCCGAGATGCGCTATCTAGTGTATATGAGATATCTATGGGAATGGCCCGTTATTTCCATGTGTCAAATATATACAAAATACACGTATTTCTTTGTACCTTCAAGGCATACCTTCTCCTTGATCTTCGAAGGAACAGTAAGCGCAGTATATTGCACGATATATCAATGTGTTTTATACAATAATTGGATCAATTTTAGTATAAAATCTCTTCCATAAAATTCAAAGTCATCAGCGTTCAAAGTAAATTTGAAAAACTATACTGCAGGCTCGTGCAGTCGTGCCCTACTTCCTTTACACTTCGTGTAACACATTGTATATTGGCCTGGTTAAGCCATTGGTTAAGCTTCTTTGGTTAGCACTATTTTCCATCCAGCAAACTGACCTGACGTTATTTTCTGAAGATGGAAGAGGTGTTAAATGGCTATGTAACTAACCCACACCATACCCCTACTCTAACCCCTAACTCTAACCTCAACCCTAACTCTAACCCTAACCCTAACCGAATTAATAAAAAAATCCAAAAGAAACGACTTTAAAAAATCGATAGGGCGGTTTGCTGGATGGAAAAAAGTACTATCCAAGCTTGTTTACCAAAAGCAATTTTTAGCAATTTTTGTATCTGCGCTAGCGCAGATACATTGCCATCGTGCAGACCGTGTGTTAGCGCTAGCGCAGGTACATTGCCATCGTGCAGATTGTGTGTTAGCCCTGAGCGAATCAGCAACAGCGCTCAGCATCACGTGTGTCATTTTGATCTCTATATTTTGCAAAACCGTAAAAAAATGTAACTGGATGGATATATTGATCATATTCAATAAATTCAAAATGGCCGCCTTTGATGGAGTGAATATACGTAAATTAAAACCATAGTAGTAATATAGAGGCCGTTCAACCCCCATTTTTGCGGCGGTGAAGTGTGGTGGAGGAGTGAGGAGGAGGAGTGAGGAGGAATGAGGGTGCGTAATGACGTCACGCGGGCCTGTCCGGGCGAAATTGGACAAAATTTGCTGACTACGCATTTTTTAGCGTCCCCCGCGTTTATGACACAAGAGAATATGTTGTTGTCTAGAGTTTTATAAGTACAGCTCTAGCATTTTGCTGTTATTGTCAAGTGATTCCTTTAATTTAGTTCCTAGAGGCGTAAAAAATCTGATACTATATGAAATAGCATTAGTGTTATATATCTAAAACTTATATATTCGGGGTATACAGCTATATGTTTTGTTGTTAAGTAATATATAAATGTTATCAAGCGTCAAAACGCTGAGAAATAGCATGCGGTAAGAGTTATTGTGTATCTACAATTAAACTAATATTTAAATCCCGGTCTGCCATATGAGGTCTATATACGAGAGAATATGTTGCTGTTTAGAGTTATATAAACATATGATATATAATTGTCAAGCGATTTCTATATTTTATTGCTAGTTTTTTAAAGTACTAAAACTCGATAAGGTTAATAATTTTAAGCTATATTAAAGCACACCGGTTGCTATGTGTTGTTAGGGTGACACTAATTAAAGGATTAACTTTTATCAGAGATTTGCATTTTTCTACTGTGTGGATAAATACGGGTAGATTAGGATATTCATTGCGCGGGCGTCGCGGGTTATCCGTGCGGGAAGAGAGAAAGCGATCTAGACAAGACAGGAGCGCTTTGCAGCCAAAAGTTGAAAGACTTTGTGTGGAATCCTGTAATGGTTGTCAAGTTGGTCATCCTAGTCAAAGACAACATGACTGCCTCATGATGAACAAAAACGAACGATGGCAAATAAGGAATCTATTCGTCACAAAAATCAAGACATATTTTAAACTAAACAGTTCCTAATCCCGAGTTGTCAACGTCGTTGTTAAGGTTAATATTTACATGTTGTTCAACGTTATTTTAGCAAATATTCTACATACATATATACTGTTAAGATGACCGAGTCAGATCATAAGTAAGCTTATCAAGAATATAAGTTAGAACTGGAACAGTTGTAATATATTTTGCGATAAAAACATGTAATCGTTATATACGTTCTTGTCACTTGTTTCAGGGGTTTGGCTCTCAGATTCTTCATCATAGCTACTTTCATCTAAGATATTGATATCCTAAGATACTGATATCCTAAGATACTGATATCCTAAGATACTGATATCTTAAGATACTGATATCCTAAGATAGTGATATCCTAAGATATTGATATCCTAAGATATTGATATCCTAAGATACTGATATCCTAAGATACGGATATCCTAAGAAAATGATAAATCGTTATATACGTTGTTGTCACTTGTTTCAGGGGTTTCGCTCTCAGATTCTTCATCATAGCTACTTTCATCATCGTGGTGGCTTTCATCTAAGATATTGATATCCTAAGATACTGATATCCTAAGATACTGATATCCTAAGATACTGATCAGCTCCTTAGGCTCGGAGCCAGCTCCTTGGGCTCAGAGCCAGCTCCTTAGGCTCGGAGAAGATCTCTTTAGGCTCGGAGCCAGCTCCTTAGGCTCGGAGCCAGCTCCTTGGGCTCAGAGCCAGTTCCTTAGGCTCGGAGCCGAGCTCTTTAGGCTCGGAGATGATATCCTAAGATACTGATCAGCTCCTTAGGCTCGGAGCCAGCTCCTTGGGCTCAGAGCCAGCTCCTTAGGCTCGGAGAAGATCTCTTTAGGCTCGGAGCCAGCTCCTTAGGCTCGGAGCCAGCTCCGGTGGGCTCAGTAGGCTGTGATGTAGGGTCGATGTAGGAAGGTCCTGAAGGGGGGTCCCAATCCCATTTCCCATCTAAAATTTTGGCAAAATCCCAGTCCCAGTTGGACTTTTATTAGAAATCCCAGTCCGAGTTATTGAAATCCCAGTCAATAAAAAACCCTTTATTTATCAGTACAATAAACAATTTTAAGACTTTTAAGCCATCGTGTGTGCAAGTGGCACACACTTTATAAAATTTTGGGGGGTGGGTTGTGCCGAAGGCACGGAAAATTTTAAAATTTGAATCCCGGAAATGGCATTTGCAGCATTCTGAGACACGCATAAGGAAAACCCAGAATTCCGGGCGCCAGAGTATGCTTGTTCGCAGGTAGTGCTGTGAATAATATAGTTAACAACAAAAATCATGACCAAAGACACCAAAAACGGACCAAAATTGTATTTTAAAATACTAAAAACGTAGAAAAATTGGGAATCGACTCGCATTACCTTAATCCCATTCCCATTTTTGAGGACTTCATTTCCCATTCCCAGTGGCCAAATCCCAGTCCCAGCAACCCAAATCCCATTTTCCCAGTCTAAAAATAGATCAATCCCAGTTCCCATTTTACCCCTTCAGGACCCCCATGTAGGGTCGATGTAGGGTCGATGTAGGGTCGATGTAGGGTTGATGTAGGGTCGATGTGGGGTCGATGTGGGGTCGATGTGGGGTCGATGTAGGGTCGATGTGTGGTCCATGTAGGGTCGATGTGAGGTCGATGTAGGGTCGATGTGAGGTCGATGTAGGGTTGATGTAGGGCTAGGAGTATAGGAGAACAAATGTTTGTGATAGGAAACAATTTGGAATTGTTGGAGAACGAATGTTTGATAAGAATATAGTCCACTTTATGAACGCCTATTGGCGACTGCCGTGTTTATCTCTTCGCCACCTGGTGAATAAACAATAAAGCCAAACAGGTCCCCAAGAACGGTGCTCGGCTCCGAGCCTAAGGAGCTCGGCTCCGAACCTAAGGAGTTGGCTCCGAGCCTAAGGAGCTGGCTCCGAGCCTAAGGAGCTGGCTCCGAGCCTAAGGAGCTGGCTCCGAGCCTAAGGAGCTGGCTGCGTGCCTAAGGAGCTGGCTCCGAGCCTAAAGAGCTGGCTCCGAGCTTAAGGTTTATCTCTTCGCCACCTGGTGAATAAACAATAAAGCCAAACAGGTCCCCAAGAACGGTGCTCGGCTCCGAGCCTAAGGGCTCGGCTCCGAGCCTAAGGAGCTCGGCTCCGAACCTAAGGAGTTGGCTCCGAGCCTAAGGAGCTGGCTCCGAGCCTAAGGAGCTGGCTCCGAGCCTAAGGAGCTGGCTCCGAGCCTAAGGAGCTGGCTGCGTGCCTAAGGAGCTGGCCTTAGTATCTTAGGATATCATTTTCTTAGGATATCATTTTCTTAGGATATCCGTATCTTAGGTTATCATTTTCTTAGGATATCCGTATCTTAGGATATCAGTATCTTAGGATATCAATATCTTAGGATATCAATATCTTAGGATATCAGTATCTTAGGATATCAGTATCTTAAGATATCAGTATCTTAGGATATCCAAAGAGCTCGGCTCCGAGCCTAAGGAGCTGGCTCTGAGCCCAAGGAGCTGGCTCCGAGCCTAAGGAGTTGGCTCTGAGCCCAAGGAGCTGGCTCCGAGCCTAAGGAGCTGATTAGTATCTTAGGATATCATTTTCTTAGGATATCATTATCTTAGATGAAAGCCACCACGATGATGAAAGCAGCTATGATGAAGAATCTGAGAGCGAAACCCCTGAAACAAGTGACAAGAACGTATATAACGATTTCATGTTTTTATCGCAAAATATATTACAACTGTTCCAGTTCTAACTTATATTCTTGATAAGCTTACTTATGATCTGACTCGGTCATCTTAACAGTATATATGTATGTAGAATATTTGCTAAAATAACGTTGAACAACATGTAAATATTAACCTTAACAACGACGTTGACAACTCGGGATTAGGAACTGTTTAGTTTAAAATATGTCTTGATTTTTGTGACGAATAGATTCCTTATTTGCCATCGTTCGTTTTTGTTCATCATGAGGCAGTCATGTTGTCTTTGACTAGGATGACCAACTTGACAACCATTACAGGATTCCACACAAAGTCTTTCAACTTTTGGCTGCAAAGATAACCTGTCTTGTCTAGATCGCTTTCTCTCTTCCCGCACGGATGACCCGCGACGCCCGCGCAATGAATATCCTAATCTACCCGTATTTATCCACACAGTAGAAAAATGCAAATCTCTGATAAAAGTTAACCTTTAATTAGTGTCACCCTAACAACACATAGCAACCGGTGTGCTTTAATATAGCTTAAAATTATTAACCTTATCCGAGTTTTAGTACTTTAAAAAACTAGCAATAAAATATAGAAATCGCTTGACAATTATATATCATATGTTTATATAACTCTAAACAGCAACATATTCTCTCGTATATAGACCTCATATGGCAGACCGGGATTTAAATATTAGTTTAATTGTAGATACACAATAACTCTTACCGCATGCTATTTCTCAGCGTTTTGACGCTTGATAACATTTATATATTACTTAACAACAAAACATATAGCTGTATACCCCGAATATATAAGTTTTAGATATATAACACTAATGCTATTTCATATAGTATCAGATTTTTTACTCCTCTAGGAGCTAAATTAAAGGAATCACTTGACACTAACAGCAAAATGCTAGAGCTGTACTTATAAAACTCTAGACAACAACATATTCTCTTGTGTCATAAACGCGGGGGACGCTAAAAAATGCGTAGTCAGCAAATTTTGTCCAATTTCGCCCGGACAGGCCCGCGTGACGTCATTACGCACCCTCATTCCTCCTCACTCCTCCTCCTCACTCCTCCACCACACTCCACCGCCGCACTTCACCGCCGCACTCCACCGCCGCAAAAATGGGGGTTGAACGGCCTCTATATTACTACTAACCATAGATATAGGAGATCTAGATTGCTAATGCATACCTAGCGCAGGCGGGGCCTACATGATAAATCCAAGATGGCGGTACAACAGGGCAAAAATTCTATAAATTCTATTACGAAAATCAGAATTTTTGCGTTTTTGCCGTCACGTTGTTTTGAAACTTATTCCGTCAAATTTTATGGTAAAGAGACACTTACCGCGAAGATTTTGAGCACATATATGATTGAATTGGATGAAAACTCGCAAAATTATTCAGTGATAAAAGTTTGTGTATAGTACTGATATAGTACAATATATGTAACTTGTACAGTTTTGCTTTAATTTTTGCTCACTATTTGCATAAAAAGCAAATTATAACAGACCATAGATGATAGACCCTCATCCAGTGCTCTCATCAGTTTACTTCTCTAACAAGCAAGGAGGGTACATAACAGTTCATTTTTCATAATTATGAGGACAGAGCAGATGATGATGAGAGATGCAAGTATAAAACACCATTCACAAGGCTAGATGTTAACATAGCACAGTATTTCTGGCAATAAAACGCTCCAGCTAACCAACTGACTATTTCATACGAACTTTTATCGCTGGATAATTTTGCAATTTTTCATCCAATTCAATCATATATATTCTCAAAATCTTCGCGGTAAGTTTCTCTTTACTATAAAATTTAACCGAATAAGTTTCGAAACAATGCGACGGCAAAAAATGCAAAAATCCTGTTTTCGTAATAGAATCTATAATCTTTTTGCCCTGTTGTACCGCCATCTTGGATTTATCATGTAGGCCCCGCCTGCGTTAGGTATGCGTTAGCAATCTAGATCTCCTACATCTATGATTAAAACGGCTGAAACGCTAGATCGAAATCCACAGTATCATGGACATGGCAAATATAAAAATTTATAGCAAAACATTTAGACTTTGGTGATGCCAAGTCTTATCATTAATGCTAATGTCTGCATTAAACAAAGGTTTTTAATTTAACTACTCTGCTATATATAGCCTATATTAAAACATCACTCGACATGTTCACAGAATCGCACAACGACTTTTAATACACTAGTATCAGCAACATTTAAAACATTGTGGTAATCGGCCACAAAGATTATATTCGTTGTAGTCAAAGAAATCCTGTCATGTTGCAAAGTAAAACGTGCAAATACAAAGATAAATTTCGCATGTGAAAACTGATACTAAGCCAAGGTCGCGTTTACACTATGACGCTACGGCAATTTTAATACCGTAGTGTAGTGATTTGCAGCCAGAGTGGAAACTGTAGTGGTCCGTAGTTAATAACACGCTATGGCAAATTAAACCACTCCGTGTAAACACAATCTAGTTTCAATGCCAGAAACGTAGTAAATTTTTGTCGGATTGCTAATAGGCCGTAGCGTCATAGACATGTGTAACTAAGTGAAGTCTAGTGGTCATTGCCCGTTGTTTTTTTGTCCGTTGTTTATGAATATCATTTGTAAATGTAACTGTTATATTCGTGTTTATCTCGTCATTGGCTACATTTTTATATATAATTTACAAAGCTTTGTGGATCATTTCATGTTTTTCATTGTAGCGTATAAAAGGCCAGCTGGCCAGGCAGTAAATAATTTTGAGACCTTTAATACGCTACAATTTCCAAAATATCAATATTACCGAAATCAGTAGAGTGTCTTTTCCAGAAGTTGAAAAGACAGTTAAAAGCCAGTAGAAACGTTCATGTTTTATGACGTCACGGTGAAGGAATGCAGCGTGGAACTTGTATGTTATTTTACTTATTAGTAACTTTACTTAAGTGCCTTCCCACGAGGCGATTTCTACAAAAAAAACGAAAACCGACCAAAAAAAAACCCAAAAAACGAGTGAACCGGGGTTTTTTTTTAAACATGTTCGAAAATCGAAACTACGGTTTAAAAAAGACACAACACGCTATATGAATATCCTAAACCTGTTCAAGCTCGCGCGAAATGGTAGAATGATATTAAACGTAAGGTATTTTGAAGATGTTATCAAATTTTAAACAAAATCTCTCTAGTTTTCGTGTGTAAATGCCAAAGTTGATTCATTTGCAACAAACCCGTATAAGTATGGTTCGATTTCGGTTTCCCCCCGCAGTGGCGTGCTGGGTACTATTTTTCTGGAGGGGCCAGTGGGCTGTCAACCAATATGCGGCCTTATAATGTTACACTTGATAAACGAGGGCCGAAGGCACGAGCCTAGTGTCGCAGGTGCAAGGTTTGTCTAGGGGGGTCCGTGGGCATGCTCCCCAGGAAAATTTTTGAATTTAGAGTCTCTGAAATGCCATTTCCTGGACTTTGGGGGAAGATTTGACAGAAATCTGATGGTCAGGAAACGGCACTATAGCGTGTCGAAATTTGCAATTTGGTTAGGATTTAGTAGTAGTACTTAAATTATGCAATGCTAACTACTTCCAGCGATTAATTTAATCCCAATTTTGTTCTCTACTGATCTACTGTCCTGAGCACATTACAATAACACACGCACCCCACGCATATGCATTTTAAAGTTTCTTTGCCTGGCTGCCCAAAGGGTATGTTTCAGCATTATTTTATTACTTACATTACTCATGCTTCTTGTGCAAACAACTAAATTGCGTACACAACTTTACATCAGTTATCATAACTTCAACTATCTAATTTGGGCCGCCCTCGTGATTCGTGAAGCATAATAAAAGGCATATTATAAGGGCATAATACCAGCAAAAAAGGGCATAATTCCCGTGATCGCTTCGATCGAAACCTGACCAATATTCCGGTAATGAGACATTGCCTGTGATCTGATCATGTTTTTATATGAACGATTTCGTGTGAGCGGTGAGGTAGCAAATACGGTTAGGCAAAATAGTCTGTAATTTAATATATATCGCCTATGCACTTAGCCTGTTTTATACCGTAGCCTATAAACACGTCTTTTCTTGGCGGAAGTAACCATATTCTTTCGAGAATGTGTTTTTTCCCAACCACTTTCAAAATTCGGCGCCCCATTTTCATTTTTGCGCCCCAAAGAATTGCCAGCTGGGGGGCCGTGGCTCCCCGGCCCCCCTGCCAGCACGCCACTGTTCCCCCGTTTTTTTTCGGTTTTCTGGTCTTTCTCCAAAAGTAACATCGAGTAATTCGGTTTTCAAAAAACATCGGTTTTACCGCCTCACCCTAGCAAGCTGCTCCATTTACTGTTCGGAGTACTCCGGATTTTCGGAACACGAATGGAATGGAACAGAAGAGAGTCACATGACTGTTCTGAACTGTTCTGACTACCCCGATTTTCGAGTAGGGGCAGCCAGAACAGACACGTGACACTGCCTATTTTCACGTGATTGGAAATGGAGGCGACATATTTTGTGTATCCAATACACACTGTATAGAGCGTTATTTTGAAGGGTTGACCGCTATATTTCGACATATACTTATTATATGCTATTTGAAAGGCAGGGTTGGGCAAAATCAAGGAGTAAAAACGTTGCAAAAGCATACGTAGATGTACAAATAACAGCGAATCATTATACACTTTATTATGCGAATAACTCAATGAATATAGTAATGCATGGTTGCACGCATATATAATAAACTCATCACTGTTCCAGAACACCGTGTGCACTCCATTTTATATCGTTCTGGAACAGTGTTCTAAATGTTCTAGAACAGTAAATGGAGCAGCCTGCTGAACTTCTCTCTTTGCTCAAAAGCTTTTTTTGTGTTTGGCGAGCCATTGGCAATTTGTCACACTAAATAAAGTTAATAAGTTCTTTGAATGTTTGCATGGCGATAAAATATAATTGTTTTTGTTTGTGGAAACACCACGTAAATTTATTACTGCAAAACTTTCGATCCGTAAGCCCGGATCTTCATCAGTGCTAATAATATGTGACTTGTTTAATTCACACGCTCTTTTTATATACGAGAGTGTCGTGATCTGTTGGCTCGCGTCATTTGAAATTTAATTAAACGGCACATCAACCACGTCATTTCAAAATGTAGTGAAGTGATTCCAATTAACGCGCCGATGAATTAAATAAATTAATACAGAAAATTTTAGTATAATACTGTGGCTTAGAAAGCGAAATATTAGCTTCAAAGTAAACTAATTTGCTGTTTGAGCAACCACTTCTAAATATATACTGTAAACACAACACAAACCCGAGAAACTTGTATTAAAATTGCGCCGTGATGAATTTTCCAATTCGCCCAAACTTTGAAACGATTACGTAAATGAATCTCAGAAACCTGGTGTGTACCGCATTCCTTGTGAATGTGGTCTGGTTTGGTTTACATTGGTGAAACTGGTCGAAATCTCTCAGTACGTCTTAAAGAACACAAGACGAACTGCGAGAAGGCCGAGCAAGATAAATCTGCTGTGGCTAAACATACTTGGACTTACGACCATCGTATAAAATAGAACGAAGCAACCATTTTGGCGATTGATAGTCATAAGTTCTCTCGGAAAATGAGAGAGTCAGTTGAAATCGAGAAGCACGATACTATAGATCAGGAGGGTCTGACAGGGGCGTAGCTAAGGGGGGTTGCGGGGGGGTGCCGCCCCCCCCCCCCAATGCCGTGTCCGTCGGCACAATAAATCAGCTGTCGGCAAAATAAATTGGATCAAGCCAATAGGCAATACCTGATTGGAGAGAGATTGGACAAAAATTTGTAGAAAATGGGAGATCGAACAGATGGATATGTCGACTGAAAGCTCGGCCCTTTTCCGGACATTCAGCTAAATTGGCCAAGAATACGCTATTTAATAGTATTATATTTTCTTGCAATTTTGTGAAGTATACCATAGCTAGGTATATCATAGCTAGGTGCGTGTTGACTGTTGATGTGTCTGCGCTTCATTTCATAATCTCGTAAAGCCAGTAAAAGTCTTAGAAATTACACCTAACGGTCTTATATACAATGAGAAATACGGAGATGATTTAAAAGTACGGACAGTAGCAAGCAAAAACGCAAACGGAAGAGAGAAAAACTGACATGTTTAGTTTGCAATCGGTCGTTTGATGACGAATGGATGTACTTTTTCGATTATTTTTTTTTCGGAATCATTTTGCCTATTTTAAAAATAAATTAAAATAAATTATCTTACTACAAGGTGTTAATCATTGTATATCACTTAAAAATGTATACGGTTTGCTTTGACCACGCCCTAACCGCGCGCTAGCCACGCCCTTTTGTCGGCAAAAAGTTGTCTTGCACCCCCCGAAAAGGATAGTCTTCGCTCCGCCCCTGAGGAGGGAAAGCCATTAGATAGCACGTGGCGTGCTCTCTTTAATAAAATAATAAAATAAATTAATGTGCAAAATTAATTTCTCTTGTCTTGGATGCGCGCGCGTTAATTGGAATCACTTCACTACGTTTTGAAATGACGTAGTTGATGTGCCGTTTAATTAAATTTCAAATGACGCGAGCCAACAGATCACGACACTCTTGTATATAAAATGAGCGTGTGAATTAAACAAGTCACATATTATTAGCACTGATGAAGATCCGGGCTTACGGATCGAAAGCTTTGCAGTAATAAATTTACGTGGTGTTTCCACAAACACAAACAATTAAATAAAGTTACTAATAAAGCCCCGTTTACACTACGCTCAATTTTTGGTACGGTACGGATAAAAATTGGTACCCGTACCACTTTTTTGTTCCTTGGACTACCTATTTAGCTAAGCCCCGTTTACACTACGCTCAATTTTTGGAACCGTACCACTTTTTGGTTCTTGGAAAATAGGTAGTCCAAGAACCAAAAAAGTGGTACGGGTACCAATTTTATCCGTGCCGTACCAAAAATTGAGCGTAGTGTAAACGGGGCTTAAGTAAAATAACATACAAGTTCCACGCTGCATTCCTTCATCGTGACGTCATAAAACATGAACGTTTCTACTGGCTTTTGACTCTCTTTTCAACTTCCGGAAAAGACACTCTACTGATTTCCGTAATAAAAACATGAAATGATTCACAAAGCTTCATAAATTATATATCAAAATGCGGCCAATGACGAGATAAACACGAATATAACAGTTACATTTACAAATGATAAACAACGGACAAGAAAACAAGTAAACAACGGGCAAAGACCACTAGCTAGACTTAGTAACATTGACATTGAGTGACCTTAACCCTTAGTAAAATGTTTCAACGGAAAAACAATTAGCGGAAATTAAAGCGCCGAAACGCTAGTTCGAAATCCGCAATGGAAGGCCTGCTTTCGCATAAACACATTCACATGCACAAAATAAAAAATTACACTGGCCTGTAGGCCAAGTGTCTTAAATCCCTCTTTTTTCTGTTTTCTGTTTTCGACGAGAAATGGAGTTTGCGTTAGGTCATCGCAGGCTCAGGATGCAACGTGCTCCAGTGATATATTTAGTTCAGTTTCAAAATGGCGGCTTTTCACTGAGTGATCTAATATATATTTCACACAGTTTCGTTGAATTTTCAAGGAATTGTGCCGGTTTCCTATGGATTTTACGCTGTGAATTGTGAATTGTGAACTTTATTTACCCACGGTAGACTTATCAGGATTTTACATAAAAGATGATAAGAGAATACAATATAGTTACAGATTACAGAATATAAAAGTTAATTAAGATACTAATTATGTATACATACTATACTAACACTAATTATATATTACAAGAATACCTGTTTTCCATAAGTGCCGTGCTAATATATTAATATAAAAATCTAAAATTATTGACTAATGTATAAAGTTGCTGCAGTGTGACTTGAATTTACGTAATGAGTTAGACTGTCTCAACTCAACCGGAAGGGAGTTCCACAGCACAGAACCACTATAGCTAAAACTATTTTTCAGGTAATTTGTGCGTGGTTGAGCTAAAGCTAATTTTCTACTGATGCCTCTCAATGTATAATTTGTTACGCTACTTCGATCAACAAACATTTCAGACAGGTAATCTGGCACAAAACCAATAAGAGATTTATAGACCATTATAGCTTTGGCAATTTTTCGCTGAGATTCAAGGTTTTTCCAGCACAAATTTTCAATTAGATATTCAGCATTTGTATCATAATTAGATGAAGTAAGTACTCTAGCGGCTTGATTTTGGAGTTTTTGCAGTTTATTCGCAAGAGTACTGCCGCAACTATGCCAGACAACGCAACAGTAATCGAAATAGGGTTGAACTAAGCAATTGTAAATAAGTTGCATTGTGGAAGGTGGGACGAATGGCCTTATACGCTTTAATGCACCTGTGCCAGAAGCGACTTTTTTGCATAATTTCTCGATATGACCCAGCCTAGTCCCAGGCTCTCTCTCTATTCGCTACTTTGATATATTTAAATAAGTCTTAAAAGTTTTATGCCTGGGTGTGCTGTGCGGAACGCTTCAGCGAGAGAGCCTAGCAGATTTCGGTAAAATGGTCCCTGATTTCAAAAAAGTGGTCCCGAGCCTGGTTACCAAGCATACCTCATTTGTAAATGGAAAATGTTATGGAAATTTCCTTTGCATTTATAATTAAGTCATTAGTTTTGCTCTAATCTGTCGAAACAATGAAGTAGGATACGTTTCGCGGCCATACGGTCAGAATGGAATAACGGGCTAAATATGACTCGTGTTTACTAAAATTTATAGCCATATTAAATGCTATCTAGAAGCTTGAAAATTATGCCAAGTCTCCGACTAAGAATGTTTTGACAACACCGTCATGTCAGGCAAATTTCCAATCTCCTCAGCAATTTAAACCTGTCAAGTAGAAAGCGTAGTTGTGTATACCAGTATGGTCTAGTGTTGATCACAACTTGCGAGTACATAAATAACATCAACGATTGCTGAAACTCGGTATCGTAAATTTGTATATATTTTTTTTAGTTGAGCACATTTTTAATACAGTTTGATTTGGTTATGTAAACATCGAACATGTACATGATGAACGAACATTGTCGTATTTATAATTAAAAGGTTACTTGTATATATAAATTTTTCGCCATATTAAAAATACTGAAATCTGCTAGGCGTTCTGAAGCACCTTGAGCGGTGACGTCACACCTAGGTCCCAGTCTCGTACTACATCCACTTTTTTCTCGCGCTTGCTTCGGAACGACTGGGACTAGGCTGGATATGAACATTCCAAGTCAAGTTCTCGTCTAAATGTACACCAAGTGACTTTGTGTGAGAGACTTGTTTAATTGGTACGTCGTTTATTGTCAGTGAAGGACTAGAGTTGAAAGCACTAATCCTTTGACGGGAGCCGATTAGCATAAATTCTGTTTTAGATTGGTTTAAAGTAAGTTTGTTGGCTACTAACCACTCACTAACTTTAGCAAGATCTTCGTTGAAGTGATGATCAATGTCATCAATATCGTTACTTGCGTAAGTCAAATGAGTGTCATTTGCATACATGCGTGCACGTGAGTAAGAGAGGCAATTCGGGAGATCATTGATATAGATTAAGAATAAAAATGGCCCCAGAATAGTTCCCTGGGGAACTCCGCAACGGAATAAACGATTTGTCGAAAAATGACCATTAACGAAACATTTTTGTTTCCGTTCACTGAGATATGATCTGAACCAGTTGCCAGCAACACCATTGATGCCATATGAATTTAGTTTTCCTAAAAGAATCTCGTGGTATACGGTATCAGACGCCTTCCTGAGGTCGAGAAACAGGACAGCATTTACGCTTCCATGATCGATATTATAAGCCCAATCGTTAGTGGCCTCAAGAAGGGCGGTAACAGTAGAATGTAGACGACGAAATCCCGACTGACAATTAGTTAACAAACTATTTTCAGATAGAAATAAATACAGCTGATCATAAATTATCCTTTCGCCATATTAACTCCTATAACATTTCCTCTGGTTTGGTTGCTTTCAACATGGCGGCCACGCCGGAAGTCGGCTGACATTCATTCATTCACACACACTTTTTACCCTTGAGTGAACCTTCTGCCCTATATCTATTCTGTGGTGAAAACTCGAAAACTACAAAATTTGGATCCAGCGAATTTATACAATATAGTGGAATATAAACAAGGACAAGTTAAAGGTTTGACAGAATGACAGTTTGACTTTTTAATTAAAAAGTATAAATATACGTTGTAGGATCATAAACATGCGTTGTACTCTTATATTTATTCTGCCTCGTCCCTCTTCGCTTCAGTTGGGAATAGAGATCCGTGGAAAAACAATGTGGTGAATTCCGGTCCGTTCACACTGAATAAATCACATTTTTGAGTTATTTTCACTTCTTTATTTAAAACTAAATAATATCATAAAAGTTCTCGAACACACCACAAACACGATTTTTAACGTCACTCGTTACCAGTTCTCCTGTGAGCGCTTAACAGAATATTAATAATATTAACTAATGATAATATCATCAGCAATTTTCTACACTCTCCCCCCATTAAAGTGTTTAAACTGTTACAGCTTTAATGTAAGTTTTCAGCTAGTCCTATAACTCATTTAGCAAAACACCCTTGATCACGTTAATCGCTGCACTTTTTGCTTTCCTCTGTGGTCTTCTCTTCGACTCCACATCTTGCGACTGGTCGGCTACCACTTTATTCTCTATGTGATCTCTCTTCTTCGACGGCTCGTTATCCTTACATACTTTGATTTCTAGGTTGCAGACCAATTGTATTGGTCGTTCAACAACATACCCAGTCCCAGTCTTGATCTTGTATCCCCTCAGTACTCCATCTTTTCCTTGAATAGTATCAACAATCCGTCCAACTTGCCACTTTGATTTCGTTTTACTGTTGTCCGTAATCATAACTACCGATCCCTTCGAAGGCAACGTTTTGTCTTTACCGACAATCTTTCGGTGTCTTTCTTCCAGGGCATGGAGATACTCCGTCTGCCAACGCTTTCTTAGTTGCTGCCGACAATTTTTCAAAAAATTTATTCTTTTAGTTATCAGATCTTTCTCATCCAACGCCTCCAAGTCTTCCTCTAAGAAATGTGCTGATGTCCCATGAATCAAAAGATTAGGCGTGAGAATAGGATGTTCTATTTCTTCTTCTTGATAGCAGAGCGGTCGATTATTCATGAAACATTCAATATCAAGTAGGACTTCTTCTAGTTCTTCATATTTGAGTAGAGCCCGTCCTACCACTTTAGACAGACTAACTTTCATGATGCCGACCATTCTTTCGAAGAATCCGCCCCACCATGGGGCCCTCGCGAGATTGAAACTCCACTCGATTCGTTGTGTAGTCAGGTAGTTAAACAAGTTCTCATCCTGTATAAGCATATCAAGCCATTGATGTGCAGCCGTGAAGGTCAGGGCGTTGTCACTCACCAGTTTGTGCGGGGTTCCTCGTCTAGCCACAAACTCTTTCAAGGTTCTTTTAAATTCTTCAGCAGTCATACTTTTGCAAAGTTTAAGATGGACAGCTCTTGTTGTAGAACATGTAAAT